TAGCAGCGGTAAAGGTCTTACGCGCATGCGTCAACGCGCAGAAAGTTTGTAGCTTTGAGGTCCGGATTATAGATCATTCCGGATTATGGGTGTCCGAATTAACGACTTTTGACTGTACAATGTTTTCAAAGAAAAGGAATCATCGATGATAGAAAATAATGTTTGAACGACCATGAGATGAAATTATGCTTTAGCAGTAACTCAATAGCAAAATAGCAGTATATGTGGCAGGAAAGAAACCTGTAATGAGAAGAAAGTATTAAGAAGTCAAAACTGGTTCGAAAGATCAAAAATACCCTTCCTTACAGCCATCAGGTTCACCTATTTTTTGGTATCAGGAGATAACATCTATTAAATTTTGTGACCTTTGACTGAAGATGAACCACAATACAACTGTAGACTGGAACAGTTACAAGCATGAGGTCGGTGCCGCAGCTTTAACTGCTCGACCTAAGTTAAAAATCGGCAGATGTGGCAAAATTATTTAAGTAGATGAAAGTCTTTTCAAAAGCCAGTAGAAGGAAGAATAATGTTGGATGTGTTCTTTCAACACAGTGGATTTTCAGCGGATGGTGCAGAAAATCAAATGAATGTTTTCAGATTGATCAGTAGAAACATTATCAAATGCCTTAAAGGAATATATCACAGAAGGAAGCATTATTTATACTGACTGCTAGAAATCATATGAGTTGGATGAACTGCGAAATGCCGGCTTTAAAGATTTCACTGCCATCCGCAAACAGTTTTGTGGACTCTGAATTTGTGGAATCCGGTGAAAGTCGGTGTCATACACAAACAATAGAGCAGCTGTGTGGCAATGCTAAATGGTGTAATAAATGTCACTGGTGCACTGCTCAACAACATTTCGATTCTTATTTGTTCGAGTTTATGTACAGAAGCTTGCACATAAAAATTGAGATCTTCTCTGCAAAGTCGGAAAATATCAAAAAATGTTATTCCTCCCGTTTAATTTCACTGATGTTTAGCTCATTATCTTTAAATTACAATAATAAAAAACATGTATTATGTAAAATTAACCTTTCATCAAATTAAATTAAAAATCTTAAACACTTAATTACTATTGTGGTGTAGTGTTAATGCTTTAACAGTGTGGTGTTGAACTCCAATGAAAACGCTAACGTTAGAACACCACATGAAAATTTTATTTAGCGCCCAAAAAATGGCTACATACAATCAACAACAGAAAAACCTAAATCTGTTTCTTAAAATCAAATTCTGTACATTTTACGTGCAAGAGAAATACGTGGCTCTCGAGCTTGCGTTTTTAACATTGCCAACAATTTAATTATATAAATAACAACTATTGAAAACATATTTGTAAGTTAAATAATAATAATTTTCAGCTTATGCTCACAAGACATCTTTGTTCATATTAATCTTCAGTTTCTTCTTTCTTTATGTGACCTTATCACACTATTATGCTTTCTTTCAGTTATGTTCAGCCATTTCTTTATAAATTATAATAATAAAAAAATGTATTATATGAAATTAACCTTTCATTTAAATTAAAATAATAATCTGAGATAGTTATTTCCTATTATTCTTCCATTAAGTTTAGCTTTTTTTTTTTTATAAATTATAATAATAAATAAATAAAAAAAAGTCCAAAAAGAATATGTGAAAGGTTTCACATTTTAAATTATGTCCAAAGGGGCATTTTTTTAACATTTTGTGTGTTACCTTTATTTATTAAATATCATGTTCTTTGCACTTAAACTATAAAATTCAGTTCAAGAGTAATGTCGCAAAATAACTTTAAATTGAGCATATCTTTAGAATTTCCGATACACAGTCTCACGTGCTGGAGACAAAAATATATTTTCTGTCCGATGTTGCCATTGCTCGCTTTGAAATCCTTGAGTTTGTTAAGCAAAAATTAGTTTTAAAGTTTTTCAAAATATGACATCGATAATAAAACAAATTTAAAATTTGGGTTTCCAAATGCCCATACTCACAGTAGGATTTCATCATTCAAAATTTAATGGCTCTATGTACCGTTGTTTTATCACAATGCGAGAAACATACATACATTTATGCAGATTCTTCATTATTTAATTTCTTCAAATATAATACAGGGCGATAATATTTTGTGGCAACAATTTGAAAAGTGAAACTGATATTCAGAGCGATTCTACGCAAAACGAAAACAATAATCTCTCAGGGACAAAGCCCCTTTTGACTAAAAATGTATTATATGAAATTAAACTTCGTTATAAATTATATGAAATTAAACTAAACGTCTAAATTAAAATAATAATAGATAGTTACTATTATACTTCTTTTCTTGCATTAGGTTTACTGTAATTATTTTGGCTTCAACAATAGTTTGGCAATTTTTTATGGTCACTATAACATAATTGTACCTTCGATATTAGGGTTATGTGATTATTTCGTAACCTTGGTGATTTGCTCTAAATATTTAGTACTTTTATCTGAAGCTTCAGTATGCATAATAACTTACTGCTATTTATTTACTTTGTAGCTGTATATGGATATCTTCTTTTTTTTTTTTCCTTTTCTTTTTGCTGATGTGGTCTTGAATTGTGTATAGATATCTACTTTTGTTTGCTGCTGTGTTCTAAAAAAACATATAAAGAATCTACTTTTTTCTGATGTTACGTTTCTTTGTTGCTGTTTTGTCTCATGGTGAAAGCACGAGTTCCCCCTTATCTTAGCTTACAAGTTAGCTTCCAAACTAGATTTTAAATGGTCATGAAATGTACCCCCTTTTTTTTCTTTTGGTTTGGAAGTGCTTTCAACTAGCTCAAACACACTTAAATGTTATTTTATTAATTATTATTAACTTAAAATATACAACTTTAGGTTAGTATTTCCAACACCTTACTCAACATACTATATATTTACAGACAGACAAGACAATAACAGTAGATTTATTTCAACAATACATGCCAAAAAGGAGGTTGGTCTGCATCCGGTGAACTCGTCTACAGCTTCGCAAAGCACAATTTAACTAACAAAAAGATCATGCTTTGTATCTGGAAAGATTGCCATGGTATTATTTACAAAGAATATCTGAGAAAAAGGAAAACCTTGACAGTAAGGTGTACAGCAAGAGGCTAGTCCGTGTTGACACCGATAACAAGGAAAAAGGTAATGTTCCGTTAAGATAATGCAAGCCCACGTGTCTGCATTCACCGGCTGGACTCTACAGATTTTAATAGGATCTTTTGCCACACCAACCATATAGCCCTGGCATTACTCCTTTGAACTTCTACCTTTTTTCACCCCTTTAGCTACAACTTGCTGGTGCTGTCTTCTATTCTGCACAGGATGTCCGAAATGAGGTTGATCTGTTTTTGGATTTGTGGTCACCAATTTTCTGGGCCGAAGGCTTTGAAAAACTACCAAATTGTTGGCAAAAAATCGTAGATTTGAGTGGTGATTATTACTCACACTAAAGGTACTGCTTTCATTTTTTTTCTAACTTTATTAAGAACGCTTTTTGACGGAAAGCTTTCGTTACAACCAGATATTAAACACCATGTTAATAAAAAAACATACAAAATAATTTCTGCAAATGAAATTTTCAGTTATCTAATTACATGCAGGATACAAAATTGTATATTAATTTGGCAAGCCTGTCATTTCTGCGAGAGTCATATTTAGGACTATAACTTCTGGATATTTTCAACACTGTAAAGGAGCACAGAAAAGATGATATTGTTTGACCAAGATAAAGTACAGTACAAAGTCCCAAATCCGGATGTCCATTATCCGGAATGATCTATAATCCGGTCCTCAAAGCCACAAACTTACGCATGTGTAAAGCGTTTACACATGCGCGCTTCTGATAGTGAAGAAAGTGACAGAGAGGTTATTGAAAACGAAAAAATTTTAATTGACAAGTTAGTCGGTGTTCTCAACACAGCAATTACAGGATTTGAACAGTGTAACTTTGTAACTCAACAAGAAATTATGTCTGTTTATAGAAGAGAGAATTAAAGAGAAAGTATTAGCACAAAAAACGAAGCTACTTTAACAACTTACATTGAAAGAAATGTTTAATAAAGTAAACAAATAAATATTAAGCTTTTTTTTTTTTTTGTAAATTTTGATATCCTTCAGATCATAATTGCTCTTTATTTCATAAATTACGGTTTCATATTTTTAATTGTATAGTTTCTGCATGCCATCTTACCACATTTAAATTGATGATCTATAATCCGGAATCACCGAAGTCAAGATGAGTCCGTATATGGAATAATAAATTGTCCATAATTCCTACTGATATCTGAACTTTCAAAGAAATAGTCTTGGGAGTAGGATATCTAGAAAACATATCAGCCCAATATAAAAGTCACACTCAGTGACTATCTTTGACATATGCCTTGCATACAAATTCATACTATTAAACAATCTTTAATTCGGATTATCCTTTCTTATAACAGAAGTAATTTGATCAGAAACTATTGCAGTCAGTGTTTCCTCTAATTTTTGACTACTTGTACAACTGTTTTTTTATTACAAGAATAGTTTGTGTGGCTTTTACTTTTATATTTAAATCAATTTTATTTTAATAACATCCATTATGTTCAAAGACAAATATATTTAAAAAAACTAGTTATTAATTATAAAAAATTAATATACATGTAAACATTTGCAAAATTATTTACTAAAATATACCTTACTCTAATAGAAATAATGTTTTGATTTCTCAAAAATGAATAAACAAGTAAATGCTCTGTTTATATTATCATATATTCAATCTTTCCTCTTCTATCTTTAAAAGTTAATTATTCAGCATATATGCAATCCAAATTTATACCATTTCCAATAATAAAGTACCATTTTACTCACATTACTACAAAAGTACATATATTAAATACTAAAGAATCTTTAACATATTTCATATGATTTATTCTAAAATTAATGTAATTATTATTACTGTTAGTTTGATTAGTGATGTGTTCGTGTAAATATTGTTTGTGAGCTAAATTTTTTAAAGGCATGTGCACAGCTTAGAGGGAACTCTGATTGTAGTTATTTAATTTTTTTAAAAAAAGATAAAGTATATAAACATCTTTCAAGTATTGCTACATACTGAATGTTTGTTCATCAGAATATCATATTTGACCATTGAGTGAAATATGAAATGTCTTAGAAAGCTCCCATTAGTTGGAACTCTCAGCTTTGCTTGATCACCCATTAAAGATTCCTTTCCTTCAGAAATATGACAGAAAATAATGCTTCTAACATTAATTTCTATCTGTTTGCCATTACCTTCTTAATTTAAACTTGTGTTACTTCATCCAGTAGTTTTGAGCTATATGATCTATATGGTTGCAACATTGTTCACAGACAGAAGTTTCAAGAGCTCTCGTCAGTGTCTGTACATACTTCTTGTAGAGAGCTTTTCTAATTAGAATTGAAAAGCTTGCAATAACATCAAACAAGCAATATTTAAACTAGTTATGCTTCATCTTCTCCCCATTCGGATTTTTGATGAGTGCAATACAAACACCAAGACAGTATCTCCTTTCTTTGCCTACAGGAACTGGCCAACTTTCTGGATCTCTTGAATCAATAAAACATTAAGGAAAGTTTTAATTGTAGTTTTACAGCAATTTTTCTTCTATTTCACAGAATTGAAAAATAACTAGAATTTTATAACACAAAGTAAAAACTGAAGTTGCATCTACTAGTATTTTACTAATAGTGCCCATATTCACATTTGGGAAAATTTCCAACACTCTGTATCATGTTGACAAGATAAGAGAGATAATTGTCTTTAGCAAAATCAACTAAGTCAATTAAGTGAGATACTAATTTGAGATTTCATATTTTGACCAATATATATCAACTGCTGATTTGAAATTTTAATGTATATAAGATTACAGAAATGAAAAAACAGACATATATTGTTTTAATAATATTTATGTAAGATGAAGCCCCCAGCAACTGCAAATTACGAGACCCTTAGGTTGAAAATAATCTATTTAATAAATTGTTTATGATATATTACACAAAATATAGTAAATCATGAAGGACTCAAATTTGATTGAGGAAGCAAAAAACAAAACTCAGGGCTTGTAGGGTTACATGATTCTGTAAAGAAGAATCAGTATCAACATTTTTCTATCAATGTTGATATATGCTGCTATAAGCTTTCTTTTGGATGAGAAAAATTTCCTATATAATCAAGGACATGCAGACATTATTTTAAATCACCATTGCATTGAAATGAAATCTTACATATATATGAAAGATTTCCTCCTACTGAGAACAAATCACATTTTACATACCTCATATAACATACATTTTCTCTTATATGGACAGACACATGCTTCTTTAAATCAGCCTTTAGTTGAAATGGTTCATACTGTAATTCATATATGAGGTTTTTCTGCAGCACAAATAGGTAAATATTTTTAACTTTCTCTCTAAATAAAATAGGACATCTCTTAGGTATGGATAAGCATAGGCACCTGCAAATTACATTTCTGTAAAAATGATTTGTTTCATGCCTCACATGCATGAGGTTTTTCTTCTGTGTGTGTAAGAATATGTTTGTTTAATTCGCCCTTATGTCTGAATGACTTATTACATGCATCACATAAATGATGTTGCTTTCCTGTGTGAATAAGCATATGTTTGCATAAAACACTCCTACGTCTAAATGACTTGTTACATACCTCACACGCATGAGGTTTCTCTCCTGTGTGAATAAAAAAATGTATTTTTAATTCTCCCTTCTGTCTAAATGATTTGTTGCATATCTTGCACACATGAGGTTTCTCGCCTGTATGAAAAAGCATATGCTTCTTTAAAAGGTACTTGTATCTAAATGACTTGTTACATACCTCACATATATAAGGTTTTTCTCCTATGTGAACAAGAGCATGCATGTCCAAATCATCCTTTAGCCTAAATGATCTGTTGCACATCTTACACAGATGAGGCTTCTCTCCTGTGTGAATAAGCATATGCTGGTTTAAAACACCCCTGCGTCTAAATGATTTGTTACATTTCCCACACTGAAAAGGTTTCTCTCCTGTGTGAATACGACAATGCATGTTTAAATCAGCCTTTAGCCTAAATGACTTATTACATATCTCACACAGATGAGGTTTATCTCCTGTATGAAAAAGTATATGCATGTTTAAACTACGCTTTAATCTAAATGATTTGTTACATATATCACATACATGAGGTTTTTCTCCTGTGTGAATTAACATGTGCACGCTTAAATCACACTTTTGTCTAAAGGACTTACTACATACCTCGCATGAATGGGGTTTCTCTCCTGTGTGCATTAACATGTGTATCTGGAAATTACATTTTCGTACGAATGATTTGTTACACACCTGACACACATGAGGTTTTTCTCCTGTGTGAACACGTGCATGCATGCTTAAATTACTTTTTTGTTTAAACGACTTCTTACAGATCTCACACACATGAGGTTTTTCTCTTCCATGAACTAGCATATGGATGCTCAATTTACTCTTTTCTCTAAATGACTTGTTACATACATCACAGATAAAAAATTTTTCTTTGTGAAGAAGCACATGTTTCTTTATATCACTCATCATTTGTTACAAAGCACATATGAGGTACTTTTTTCATGTGCCTAGGTCTGTTCAGATTAAACTTTTATGTAAATGACCTGTCACATACATAAGGTTTATTACCAAAGTGAACAACCATATGCATATTTAATCTTTTTTTAATGCTTTGTTATACATACCATACATATGCAGTCTCTCTTCCATGTGGATAAGCATGTCTTTAAAATTACTTATTACACATCTCACACATATGAAATTTCTGTGCTGTGCAATGAAGCATATGCAAACTTATCTTTTTATATGAATATTACATAAAATATATTTCTGGGTACATACACATAGGCAACTTACTTTTTTCCTGAAATGGCTCATTAAATACATCACATACATGAAGTTTCTTCCCTGCAGAGATAAGCACATGCTTATTTCGAATAATTCGTTACATTTCACACAATGCTGTTTTCATGTACTGCATGGAAACAAATGAAGTTGGTTAAAGTTTACCTTTACCCACATTACTTCTTAAATGTTTATTACTAGTTCACCCCCTCCTGTTCAAATATACACATGAATATATATGTAAAAACAATAATGCATAACCTAATTGTGCGTGATTTAAGTACACCTTAACTGGAACACTTCACCCAAAATCAAACTTGTTACTATTTATATAGATATAGCTTCGTGCCGAGTTTATACTTCCTATACATGAATTAACGCACAGATCCATTGTATATGTAACATTATATGAAGTTACGATTGTTACAAGGATTGTGGTGATGGCTAAAATTTGGGATAGTTGACATCATTTTGGAGGTTAGAATTTTGGACCATGTACGTTGACAACACAAGTAAATTCCTCAGCATGTTAGTCAGTGCTGAGTAATTTTAAGTTACTTCTCAAAATTACGCATATATAAATTTCCTTTAATTTAAATATTATTTGCAATACTCAATGCACTGAGAATCTGCATTTAGATAAGAATACTTAAATTACAATTTCTGAAGCCCCTTTGGTTGTGCTTCGTTAATGTCATGCAGATCCTAGGTTTTGCCTCACATGCTCTGTAACGTATTTTGCTATCCGAAACGGAAACTTCCGAATAGTTTGTAGCAAAAACACAGTTCATAACCGACTCAAATCTCCTTGGTTCATACAACCAGCACCATAAACACGATTTATAGCAGAAATTTAAAATTTCCACAGTTTTGCCAGATTACGAGAAAAATAATTCTTCCGAAATAATATCAATAAAATAACACTTATATCCTTGAAAATTCATCAAAGAAAATGTTTCTAAAATTAAACTTAGTGAAAGAAACCTTATGGTTAATGAAATGTTTTTATGTGATAAAATTTATAAGCAATACAATTCGCTGTGTACGAATTTCTAAGTATAACTGTGACCGGAGCACAAAAAAAGGGGGCGTGTTCGGAATGTTTGTTTACTATGACGGTACATGCTTTGCGTCATTTATGATTATTAATGTATATCCTCGAATGACTACGGTGTTCTTATGGCTGGGGTAGATGAACGTGTATTATATCATCGACATATTCTCCTTTCTGTTCTTGTTGGGCTTTTTGTAATTTCTGTAGTAGGTGTTTGTATTTCGATTATAATAATTAGCCCACCGAGAGGAGAAGAAGGTAAATATGCAAACATTTTAGTCGGCTCCTGCTTAATTTAGTATTTAATATTATACTGTGATTATATAGTTCTGTTACTCCTTTTATCCTCCTACTTTTCTATAAATTTGAACGTCTACCTAAAGTTGCGTTAACTAAAATAGCGATTTTTTTCACTAAACTTCTTATTAGAGGAAAATACTATAATGCATCATTACGTGGACCAGCAAAGGTCGAGATGATAAAGCTACAGTTGTGTTCTGCAACCAAATGGAAGAAAAATGCCTCTCGATGGTATATGATAACTTCTTTCTGTTTTCTGCATGAATTTTTCAAGAGTTCTGGCATGAGAAAATTGTTACCATTCCTGTCCTCAGTGCCTTTGTGATTTAGATTAGAGAATGTTCGAGCAATCATCTTCTTTCTTAGCCTTCCAGTATATAGGTCAATATTGATATTGGAAAATAGGAACTAGGCTGAGAACATGGCACCTTGAAATATATGAATAGGAAAAAATAATAAGTTACGTAGCACTATCACAGAGAACCTGGTAAATGGAAATGTTGTTAAAAGTAGCGATAATAGTTCAAAGTTGGTTATCTTATGAATTCTGTTGTGTGGAGATAGCAACCATTCCTTTTGTGTTTGCCTTGTTTTCTTTCATTTCTGTTCACAATTTGCACAATCTAGTATTACAATTTTACAACCAAATCTATCAATAAAAATAATATCAATAAAAAAACACTTATATCCTTGAAAATTCATCAAAGAAAATGTTTCTAAAATTAAACTTAGTGAAAGAAACCTTATGGGTAATGAAATGTTTTTATGTGATAAAATTTATAAGCAATACAATTCGCTGTGTACGAATTTCTAAGTATAACTGTGACCGGAGCACAAAAAAAGGGGGCGTGTTCGGAATGTTTGTTTACTATGACGGTACATGCTTTGCGTCATTTATGATTATTAATGTATATCCTTGAATGACTTTTTCATTCATCAGTCTTTGCACTCTGCAGCTATAGTTTGTTCTTTAGTCTTTTATTAGTACCTTGGTAAAATCCTAGGAGGGCCCACACCCTTGTTGATAATTTGGGAGAGTGCAGAATCACCCACTGTTTCTCGCATTTCACAGAATTGCCAACTTGGAAAATAAAAGTCAAAGAACTGCACAAACTTGGTATCCATGTACATATCAACCTATTTTCTTTTGAAAAATATTAGAGAATTGCATAAAGTTGGCATTACGCTCTCCCTTGACGTTATCCATGTACACATCGATATGCTCCATATAAATGGGCGATTCTGCACATTACCCTTAGTTCAAGAATTTATGTGGTTGGAATATCTAGTGTATCAAAGTAGGGTTAGCAAGATTGGTGCAGTTATCGCCAACCAAAATCATTCACGCCATTGCAGCAAGGGTGTGGGCTCTGCTAGGATCCAATCAGAATGGTATCTGATTTCCGTGTTATCTTTTCTGAAAATGAAGTTAGCAAAAAAAAAAAAAAAAAAAAAAAAAAAAAAAAAAAAGTCTTAAAGAAATATCTCTAGTGAATTTCTTGTTTGAATACTTTTTTGGCATGAAATTAAATATAATGGAATATATCCAGTCACAGAAATTTGAAATGCAATTCACTCAGGTAAAATTCTAAATCTGTGAAAATGTGACATGACAAGTTCGAAATTTATCTGACAGTGACAGCTGTCAGATAAAATTTTACATTGTGTGAGTGATTTTGGAATACTGCCATAGGTTTAATTCTAGTATACAGTACACACCGGATTTGGCTACTTTGGGCGACTTTATGATGAACAGTAAATACAACATTTATGATGAGTAGTAAACAGGTCATTTTGGTGTTGCCGACAGTTTTCAAAATAGCACCAAGGTCATACTGTGTAGTAGGATTAAAAATTCATCAAATTCCAAACATATCTTTGACAGCTGATGTAGAGCTACTCACTTTGATAAGGTTTACTTTAGAGTGAAAAATTTCAAAATGAAAATCATGTAAAATTTTTATTCATATACCTTTCTTAATCAAAATGGAACAAAATGCAAATCTAAATATATTCTTACATAAAATAAGAATAAAAAATTAATGCTTTTAACCTCTTTATCATCTGTAACACGTCTAGTGCGTTCAAGTGAAACTTCCACAGGGTGGCCGTAACGCGCCTCAAAAGCGTTCTTCTGCAGTGAGAGATGTCTTCAACGTCTACTCAGCAGAAAAAGAGAAAAAATGAGGTTGTGAATTGGAAAGACAAGAAGGATATACGTTTGATGAGTACAGTCCATAATAACTCAATGATTGATGTTTGAACACGGAAAAGAACTGTAAAAAACCAATAATTGTAAAAGATTACAACAACAAAATGGGAGGAGTGGACCACCTGAATCAGATGGTATCAAATTATCCTGCTGTTAGAAATAAGCAGAGATATTATAATTTTTCCATTATGTTTTATTTCCTTATAATTTTATTTAATATTCATTGATATTCATCCACTACGAAAGTCATGTATGGAAAGTTATGATGTACAGAGAAAACAACATTACATGCTACGAAAGACAGGCGGCCGCTGGGGGGGGGATTTTCGTGGGCAGGAGAGGACGGCGAAAGGGTTAATGGGAGGTTTAAGGCTGATGACTTGATTGTAAATTTTTAATATTTGGCTTCCTGTTAGTCAGGATTAACCTTAAATCTTCTCAGTCAGTGATTTCTAATCCATTTCTTTTTTCTTTCTAAGGAGATTGACAACCACACTGAAGCCCTTTCCATGGGGTTTGAAGATGGAAAAGCCATCCAAAAACTTTAATTGTATGTGCTAATTGTGCTTTAATTGTATGCCACTAACTCTAATTTGTACGTGCTAAGTATCACGTTTAACAAGCTGATTTTCACTTACATATGCTTAATATCAGGCTTTATCTTCTATTTTTTGGCTAACTTGATTGTTTACCTCTAAAAAATTGCCATTTACCAATCAGCAAGTAAAAAATGGGCTGTACCAAGTTCTGTGTAGTATTTCCAATGGGTTCCTTGCAGTAGTAAGTTCTGGATAATTTCTAGTTCCAAGATATGTCATGTAGCATGTGGCTGGGCACCATTTTAAAAACATATTGCTCATTGATCATATCAGGCTTTTAAGTTAGTTATTAGGTATCGACCTATTACATTATTAGAGTGTGTCTTTGGGCCAGTGGCCTATTACCAATAAGTCACTGAACACCTGGGTTCAAATCCCAGGGTATGAGCTGGCTGCATGGTTGTTTTTGAGGATTTTTCCCATGTCTAATGTAGATATGACCTAGTTTCCCTTAGAAAGACCTCAATGAAGGTATCCCTTCCCATAGGCTGATAGCCTTCGAGTTGCTTTGCTCAATCAATCAACTTAATGTAACCTTTTTGGCTGATATTTTAATGCTCCAGTGATTTAGTACCCTGCTATTGGCAAAAAGAAAAGAAAGTACTATTTGCTCTTTTGTAAGCATAGTGATAAAACACCAAGCTGTCATAGACTTGGGCCCAGTGACGTAGCTAGGGTGGGATAAAGGGGGCATCTGTCCCCAGGCGCAGGATCCAAGGGTGCCTAACTGATGTTACGAAGTTTTAGAATGAAACATTTTGCATTCTTGGCATACAGAAAAGGGTGCAAGATTTTCATTTGTCCCTGGGTGCTGAAAACCCAAGCTACGCCTCTGCCTGGCCTGGTTTGAAACTCAAAGAAAGTGTGGATGTTTGTAAGCATACTGTATTTTCGTGGCATAGAAGCACTTAAAATACTGTTAAATCAAAATTTCTTACAGGAAGTGTCTGGAAGATAATCAGATTCGTTTCCTAGGAGACTTTACTTCAAGTTTGGGATAACACTAGGCAAATTAATATAGATTGTTTGGAATAATACTGATAACTGTCACTTATAAGGTTGTCCAAGGTCTACGCCGACAAATGCAATCCAAGCCTCTTAACCACAATGAAGTATGTCTATCTGATGTGATATTAGTATCAAGCGATTGAAATCATATTGCCATGTATTGTCAGATTACTATTTAATGCTTTATCTGTGAGCTGGCAGTGGGATATCATTTGGCATTTTGGAGATCTGTGTTAAAGATTAATGTTGTGGATATAGAATGCAAGTGATTTATCTCTTTTACAAATGGTAATTTTATCTTGTAAATGTTGTAAAATATATATGTGGTCTTTCTATTTTCTTGTCTGTTTTGTGACACGCTGTTTCTGCAATATGTCGGAATGTTAATTAAGTTTGCAGGTAATTGCTGTGTTACTCTAATAGCTTGGTTAATATGTCTGGCATCAGAAACTTGATTCAAACTGTAGCTAGTTTTTAGCTCAAAAGCACTAAAATTTAGTCTCAAAAACTAATCTTGAAACACAATTTCGTGTTAATTCACGTTAATTGCATTGTGTCACTTTTCATTTGAGACTGTTGCCATCTGGAAAAATATAAGGTAATGTATATCTTTCAAAATTAATATGTCTGGTACTGAGTAACAAACTAAGCTACTTAAAAGCAATAGATGCAGTCTTAAAAATGTTACTTTTTTGGGGGGCTTGTTTAATTGGATTGATTTAAATTAAAAAGTATTATATTTATGATGTATCTAATTAAAAACATTTAATATTTTTTTTAGTTACACTATAGATTTTGTAACTTTTCAAATATATTGAAGATATATAATGTTCCCATGTCAGTCTAAATGTGTATTCATATACTAGTACAGTCAAAAGTCTTTAATCTGGACACCCCTAATTCGAAATGATCTATAATCCGGACCTCAAAGCTACAAACTTTCTGTGCATGCGTCAACGCATGCACATATGCATGCACATAATACGTTTATGCATGCACGTTTAATGTATAACGGACAGTATAAGCTAAGCTAAAATTATCGGTTGATCTTTGGATTATGGTAACTTGGTGATTTTTTGGCGAAAATTTGGCGACCAACTCTGCTACAGCAACCCTATATTTTTTTCTTTCACCGTCATTTTGTCTTCATGAAGTAATTCATGTTTCTTTTCTTTTTATTTACCTAACACTTTTTCCAACAATCTACTAGCCGAATTACACTTATGCTAGAAATTTTATGTAACAAAACTGCTTAATCATGACAAATATTAACTGCAAAATTGGGAAAAAGTGCAAAATAGCAAACTCCTTGCGCGTTTTTCAGAATAGCACATACACATAAACCATTTACACGTCGACTTATTTTTACTTAAAAAAAACATCCCAGAATTGCACAAAAATGGCATTGCGCACACTCCTAACTTTATCCATCTACACTGCTATTTTCTCATAAATTACAAAAATTTGCACGAAAATGCAGGAAAATGTTCTTAATCTTTAAACTCGGTAAAAAGCACATATATGAAATTACCTGATCGCGAAAAAGTATATACCCTTTCCAAGGATGAACATTTCCACGTATAAAATAAATAAAATATTCAAAAGCTTTTACCTCTAAATTATCTATTATGTTATAAACGTCACCAACGAATTTATATGCAAACATTAAAAATAGTTACAAATACCTAGTGTCAAATATTTAAATTATTTCCATATATCTTCACTTCAACTGAAACGTATACCAAATTCCTACAAACATAAAATTCACAAAATAACTATCATTTAATTAAAATATAACTAAACCATGTACACGTCGACTTATTTTTACTTAAAAAAACATCCCAGGATTGCACAAAAATGGCATTGCGCACACTCTTCACTATATCCATGTACACTGCATTTTTCTCATAAATTAGAAAAATTTCACAAAAATGCATGAAAATACTCAACGTATACTACTCAAACGTATTCCAAAATACTACAAACATATAACTCACAAAATTACAATCATTAAATTAAAATATAATTAAATTAAAAAACACTACTTAAAATATAAATAAGCACATACATTAAATTAATAAATATTAGATTACAATCCTAATTACTTTAAACTAAATCATTGCTAATAACAATTTTCCAATAATACCATATTAATTTATTTACTCCTTACATTTAGAACAATGCATAAAAATAATATCCTCAAATGATTAAAAATACTAACTTACCTAATCTTCTTCAGAATCTTCATTACGTGGTACGCACACTTCCCTACAGAAAGAGTTCCAATCGGCTGCAGTACTACTGCTAATTTCTAAATCCGAAATCCAGTAGTCAACTGGCAGTCTATTCACCCAGTAATAAGAAATTAATAAAATTTCACCCATACTCAAACTACTTTCAGCAAACCACGTACCCTCCCTTACACTCCGTTTCACAAAATGTCCATTTTCACCAGATTTCTTGCACTGCCATTCAAACTTATCTGTAATATCCTTCCTTTCACGCAATCTCAACTTATTATTATTATCAGATAAACGCATTAAAAATTTAGAATTCACTTTACATAGCGCCATGCAATCTGAAAATTAATCAACACTATTTCACACAACACACAATGAAGCTTAATACAAAATAATTTTTCCAAATTTATCCCCTTTTCCTATTAAAGAACTGTAATTCGTCCATTAATGTCACATGACATATCTCATGATCTCTCATTTCCCTCACACAAAATAATGCGTAATCGGAACTGAGTACTTCTCACATTATTACCAAAGTCCTAGGTAGTAACCTTTATCGCCTCCAAAATGTCGCCAAACTACCTGTTACCATATTCCAAAGATCAGCCAAATTATCTATTTCAGTTAATGTTGCAGATTGCGTTGTTCCTTAATCTTCGAATTGGATCCGGCTTATTATTTTTTGCAGACTGTTAGAGCAATTTTATAAAAAGTAAGCTTGAACTTTCGATTATGTCAAATAGAATTTCCGATGCTGGAGCTGCCAAAAGGATCTACAAAGCGAAGGTATGTTTCGATGTCAATCAAAATGAAAAGTGGAATTGCTGCAAAAAATGGATAAAGGCATATCCTTTGTTTCTCTAACCATTCCGAAATCTGTTTATCAATTTCACGCTGCTCTGCAAGGGGGGGGGGAACGTCGCGGCGTGCAATGAACTGGATGTTGATCTGTCGACACTATCCTTATCTTCAGGGCAGCTGTTTTTATTTTATTCAGCTTATAATTCCTTACTAAATGTAGTATTTCATCTCGATGTATTCCATCTTTGATATGATTTAAATCAAATTCCTCATCATTATAAATATCACGTTTTCTGATTGCAATCTTCTAATTTCGACTATGCGTAATGTATGCTTTACACATGCGCGCGTTGAAAGAAATGTTTAATAAAGTAAACAAATAAATATTAAGCTTTTTTTTTTTTGTAAATTTTGATACCCCTTTAGATCATAATTGCTCTTTATTTCATAATTTACGGTTTCATATTTTTAATTTTATAATTTCTGCATGCCATCTTACCAGATTTAAACTGATGATCTAGAATCCGGAAAAATCGATTATCCGGAATTGCTGAAGTCCTGACGAGTCCGGATTAAAGACTTTTGACTGTATCTTATAAAATGCTTCACCTGGGGTACTCTCTGATAAACTGTATTAAACTCTAAAAGAGTTCTTTCGGGCAATTGTTGAAAATTTGGATCCTTTCAGATTATTTCAAAAGTATTGCCATTTTTATCTTAATCATCATAATATTTATAAAGAAATATATTTGTCTATATACCCCATGTTTCTGTCGCTTGCTTGGCTACAAATTTAGACAACCTACACACTGCTTCTGGCACTCACTTCCGATGATCACCAACTAAATTATTTTGTCAAAATCACAACCAAATAAAGGTATATTTCACTTTAAATTATTAATGTTGTTATGAAATGTACAGGCGCGGTGAGATAGTTTTCCTGAAAAACAGGTTTTGGGTTGCCATAAAATGACAATGGAAGGCAGAGTTGCAAAATTTGGGCAGGGTTGCCACAGAACTCGTCCATTTGGAGACAAAATTGGCTATATGCCATGGAGAACCTTCTGGAACAAATTCTTACCGGTTTAGCCCAGGATATTCTTGAACACCAGCCAAAAGCCTGCTGGTACGCAGAGAGTTAGTTAGTATCGAGTTGGTGTCTCGTCTTGCGAGTCAATCCCTGCGGAGTTGATCGAGTTGACAGCCGGGCTGTGAGTGCTTAGTAGGTCATTGAGTGCACTGAAAGAGTCTTGCAGTGTATCACGGTTAGTGCATCGCCGAGAGAGCGTTTTGAGCTCCGGGAACGACTGAACCATAGAGTCGGAAGCTGTGCTCTGTGTGTCTTAGTGCATCGCGAGTTGTAGTGTAGAGAGTCTCGAGAGTACATGGAGTTCCGAGAACAACCGAGCAGAGTCGGGAGCTGTGCTCTGGTACTTTGCAGTGAAGCTGTCTCCACTGTGATAGCTTGATAACCTGAAAGCTGTGTCGCTGATCGTGTTAGCATGTATATAACAGTTTGACGACTGTAAACGAGATTTTAGAGCTGTCTTGATTAATACCAGCCAATAAAGTGTGTTTCGATACTTCGAGTGTCATCATTATTCACTCCAAATCCACATGAACCCGTATGAACATAAAGGAAGAAAGTAACGTAACAACTGGTGTTGGAAGAAAAACTTAACAATATTTAAAGTGAACCAGACCTGTCTTTTACCACATCTGCAACATTTGCCTCACACTTGTGCTGCTCTGATTTCCAAGTTAAAGTTGATTTCTTCTGTGGTTTATTTATAAGTAAAATTTTGGGAACCACTTGTCCCATTTTTTCAAATTATGGTATTCTTGCTGATATAATATTTAATACTGTTGAAATATTGTCTTCAGTTATGCAGATATATTTTAAGTAATTTCTGCTATATAATATTTAGAAGATAATTATATTTTGTTCCTTTATATTGTGGTCTGTGCCTGAATTACCAAAATAAAACAAAATTACTAATATTGTATATTTTATGTTTAATAAAAATAGTATTTATTAAGAAAAACTATCCATATAAATATTCAGTTCTTTTCCAACTAGTAAGGTAGTAGTAGGTGTCAGATACTCTTGTTGCTAATATTTCAGTTATACATTTCAGGGTACTATTTCAGGCAAATGTTGTTAATATTGATTGTTGTACATTTTTTTATCCTTTTTGCAGAAGAGTTCTCTGGAAGAAAAAATGTATTATTAATTATTATTGATGATCTGAGGCCTGCACTTGGTTGTTATGGTGATGAAAAATCTGTAACTCCTAATATAGATCAACTAGCTTCAAAAAGTGTGTTATTCAAGAATGCATATACCCAGGTTTGATTTTAATTACACCTGTTGATTTATATATATATTTTTTATGTTTTAAAAGGTAATAGTAAATATTTGCATGTATTTATGCATATAATTTAAAAATTATATATATGGATTCTAATGCTTGGAAATTATGCTATAATGCAGCATGACATATAATTTTTTGAAAAAAAAATAACATAAAATATTTATTCTGGTGAAAATAGAACTATTTTTAAAAAAGCACTGTGAAAAAAAGAACTATTTTTAAAAAAGCATTAGATAAACTTATAGATTTTTCATGTCATAATTTTCTTAAAATGGAATGTCAGTTTTTAAATTTATGTATTTTATAGAATTTGTGTATACATTTAACACAGTTGCTGTTTATTTCCTACTTATTTATGTGAAGAGGCATATAGCTGTTAGTGTATTTTAGGATACTGTTTTTTATATTTTTCACTCTCATTATGATTGGAATTTATAAATTCATCTGTACCCTTCACTTAATATTAAATGAGTATTAAAATAATCTAAATGTGTAATATCTTATTGATAGCTTTAAATCTAATGTGGGGAATTTGTAATATCTTTTGATGTAATCGTAATAATCTCTACATATAATAAAAGAAAGAGTCTGTCTGTGTGTGTGTGTCTTTCGTTCGCGCTGCACGTAAGCTAATAGACCCACGGCTACGAAATGTGGTACATAGGTGCATTTAGAAAAAAGCCAGTGCACCTCGAAGCGATTTTTTTGAAATTCGAATTAGAATTTTTAAAATTTTATGTTTTGTAACGAAATCATGCCATCTTGAGACATAATGGGCTGTAGGAAAGCGAGATCTTACTCTACACATTCCATTTTCATATTGTTATGAAATGTAGGCACCACTTAGCTATTTTACGAACTTAAAATAAATTTCGTGTTTCAATAAATCTATTAAATACGAATTTATTTAACAAAGGGAGCTTAACACCTTTTCAACGGGATTTTTTCTAAAAAAGTTTATTTTTAAAAATTTACAGTTTATTTTTCTTTGATTTTTGGACACATTAAACTTTTATCCTTGCAACTGATTTTACAAAAAAAATTTTGGAAAAATGATAATATTTTGTATTTTTAAAAAAATTTTTAATTGAAGCTTCCGAGTACACTTCTCACATCTCACATCTTTAAAAATGTGATTTTGGCAACAATTTTCCTGTCTTGTTGTTGATAGATTTTTGATGAAATTGTATCATTTTGAATAGTTTCATTCTTTTAGAAATATGGGTTTGGCAACAATTTTTCATCGTATTTCTGATGTGACAGTTTTTAAGAGATTGGCATATTTCATTGTCATTTTTATACATATATGATACATTTTTGTTGAATTTTTTTTTTTTTTTGAAAAAGTTGTTCTACAGAGTAAAATTCTGCATGGAATTTTTATGTTTTTTGAATTGCTTTCATGTTATTTTTTGCTTATTTCACTGTTTGTAAGATATTGAAATGTTTTGCATGATTTTTTTTCTTCAATGTAAAGTTGGTTAATTTTTTAATTAGGATGACTAATATTTGTATTAAGGGATATAGATTCATTGTAATTTTTTTTTCTTGAAAATATAAGATAATTATACTTTGCTTTTGAGAATTTTTTGTTTTTTTGTATTCTTTTATGTTATTTATTGCTCATTTCATTGTTTTTAAGATATTGAAAAGTTTTGAGTGATTTTTTTAGAAAACAAAGTTCTTAACCTCCTTTATACCATTTGAGTTTTTAAGATTTTGCAAAGGGAAGTTGGTTCATTTATTTATTAGGATAATTAATATTTGTATTAAAGGATATTGCTTATTTCACTGTAATTTTGTTATACGTAATAACTTTTTTTTATGAGTTGCTTTGCAGAGTAAAATTCTATGTGGTTTTTAAATTTAATGTTTGGTGTTCCCTTCAGCCATTTTTCTGGTACATTTAAAAGCCAGACGAAGGCTGGCAGCAAAGCTGCTAGTTCTAAATAAATACTGAATTTGTAAACGGTAAATTTGCTGTTGATAAGTTATTAGTCTTGAATCATTTATAGTAACATGGCTGAAAGCTTATTTGCATTATTTGTTTACAAAGTGTTCCATTTAAAATTTATTATTAAATTGCTTCATTAAGAGAATCATTATTCATTTATTAATATTATATTAATAAAGATATATAAAATGATATATTTCCTGTATATTTTGATTGCTCAGAGATTCATTCAGTATACTGTCAAAAAGACAACAGAACTCTTAAAAACAGAGCTTAAAAAAAAAACAGAGCTCTTAAAAACAAAGGTTATTAACAGTATATCCTTGTTACCTTTCAAATAGTGCTTTTTCAAGTTAAAATATAACTATAAGGCTTGTTTGTTGTACTGTAATTTTAATATTAAGGTCATATGTTCATACATTATCATAATAACACTGCAAAGAACATATATTACAAATATCAAACATGTAAAGAAAAAAAATCAAGTGATACTATTCGATTATGCATCTTTAATTAGGGTCAACTCCAAGCATAGGTAATACATGCTGCTGCCTAGGCCAGTGATTTTTCAGGAGATGCCAACTGGTTTGTTTTCACCAGCGACAACTATTTAAAGTTGGAAGGATTAAATAAAAAGCACAAAAAGTAGTGGTAAAGTCTTTATTGTCGTAGGCATGAGTGTATATAATTTTGTAATATAATCACTTGTCATATCTCATATCTGCTAAATTACTGGAAATCTTTATAAAATATCAATATGGCAACTTCTGTTACTGTTCTGCAGTGACTGTCACGTAACACAGATTACTTATTGTTTATTATTATGATGGATCACATGCAACATGGCAAATCAAATTTAATTCCGGTAAATTGATCTTAGTCACAGAGACTCATATTAAGTGAGTAGGACAGATATTCACATGCTGTCCATTGCCACTGTCACAAGAGATTTGTAGCAGGTGCTCATATTATGACAATGTATATTGTCATGGAGGAGGATGGGGAGTGCTGGATGCATATGATTGTTGTGGTAAATCTTAGTAGTAGTCAGCATTAACATAAGTCTTTCCTGAAGAAATGAATGTCATATGTCAAAATAAACTTAGCCTTTATGCCATGTAGTGTAGCTGATACTTTGGAAGGTAGAGATAAGTTTTCAAATAATGACTCAATTAGTGTTTAAATATTTATTTATATACCAGTTAAATATATCTAGTACAGGAAAGAAACTTGTCATGATGATACAAATTCAAAAGTAAAAAATATAATAATTGTTGTTCCAGACTTATGAGCGTATCATCACTATGACAACTTGTTACTATGCGATGAATCTAATTATTGCCACAGTACATTCTGTAAATGCAATTAAGTAGGTTGCTTTCATTCAATGGACTGTTATTTCATGCATTATAATGATCAATCCACTGAAATTTTGACCTTTATTCTGGAACTGTTAAAAAATGTTTATGCAATTGCATAATGGTGCATTGAACCCTGTATAGTGTATGAGATATCAATGAACTACAATATCAAAGGATATCATGCAAAATATGGAACACAGTTGTATGATATATGGTTACTTTAGTATAACCATATATCACACAACTCTGCTGTATATTTTGCATATCATCCTTTGACAATGTGTGATTCATACACAGTTTATCTACAATCAACACCCAGCAAAGAAACAAGAAGCTGAATTTTGTGGCTGTCAACCTGGGGGTCATCCATAATAATGCTAATCCTTAAATGACATACTTTCTTTCACAGAATACCCACTAGCAGCAGAACATTAAAACTACTGAATAAAACTGCTGATAATTCAACTTAGATTCAAATCCCTGCAGTTTAGCTGGTATTGCATTAGTAAATTTCAATGTGTGCTCTTTTTATAGTTAGGAGAATGCTAGTTCAATAGTCCTGTTCTGTACACATGTTGAACATTTTCTCTGGAATCCTTGACATAGCAACTGTTATTCTGATCTTCAAATTTTCAATATCATGAATTGGTGTGGCAAAGCTTGGCCTTTGAATGTCCTCTGTCTGAATCTGAACACTATTAATAATCTGATCACTTGCAGTAGGTCTGCCGCTTCTTGGTTGGTCATCAATCACATCAATTTTTAATTTTTCATATCAGTTCATGATGCTCTTAATATCTGGAACATCATGCTTATATACACAATTCAGTTTCATAATACTGTAAAAGACGCATAGCTTTTTGTTTTATTGATACTGTTTCATTTTTAACTATTCCATGCATATTATAAAATATAATTATTATAAAAAAGAAAAGAAATAGGTATCGATTTTTAATGAGTTCAGCTAGTGCCATTTCATATATTGAGGAGAGATAACAGTAACAGGAGCATATTGAAAACATAGATTGAGGAGAGAACATATATTATGACATATATTGAGGAGAGATAACAATAACATTAACTAATAACAGGAGAGATGAAAAGCTGTGTTTATTGCTTTTAAATTGCATAGTTTGTTAATCATTAATACACAGATTAAACTTGAAAGAAAAACTAAACATCTTATGCTTTACACTGGCATATGGAAGATAAAAGTATTTTATTTCAGGTACTGGCAACTCATTGCATTTAAATTGAAGTTTATTGATTAAATTTGAAAACTAGGTGCTTCACCAAGTGTCAACACATTTCTTTTAAATTACAAAGATTTCTGATTAAATTTGAAACATAAATAAATATATTATGTTTTGTAAAATGGCAACAGATTGCTTTAAATCAAGTTTGTCAATCAAAGTTAGTTAAATTCACACAAAATATAAAATAAAAGGGAATTCAAAATTTGAGCTTTGAGGTACACATGTTTGGGTGGAGGACTGTGTTGTATGTTAAAAATTTGGTGACTCTAGGAGCTGTTTTTCTGCAATGTGAGGAACATATATATACATATATACTTACAGATTCTTCATTATTTCATAATTGCAGCATAGCATTTTCCTTCAGATGAAGTTGTAAATTAAAATAATTTGAGAAAAATAAAACAATATTCGGTATTTGTCGTTTCAACAGAAATTATGTTAGTTTAATTACTTATGGCATAGCAACTCAAGGCTGTCTAAGGGAAAGAATGCCTTCGTGGAGGATTCTATAAGGGAAAATGCCTCATATTCACATTATATATTGGAAAAACCATGGAAACTGCTATGTTTCCAGCCTCTTACTGGATTTCGAATTAAGTTGAATTGTCAACATTCAGTGTTCTTACCAGCCAGCTGCTGATAAGCCCCAGGAACCAGAACTGTTATATTTATTTTAAATATCATTATTGTACTGTATGTAACAGTAAGCAAAATAAGATGTTGTTATGTGACTACTTTTTAATATTTATCTTAATTTTTAACTATACTAAGCTAAAATTAAATTTGGTGGAACAAGTTTCTAATATCATGCTTTCTCTTGTTCTTCATGACTTTACTGAACCTAATGAATAGTATAAATCCCACTGTATGTGTTAAATTATGTTCTAATTTTTAAAGAATTTTAATGCTTAACAGCAAGCACATTGTGCTTCAAGCCGCACATCTTTCTTGACAAGCCGCAGGCCTGACAGCTTACATCTCTATGATGGTGGCAGTTATTGGCGGGAATCTGTTGGAGACTTTATGACACTTCCTCAACATTTGAAAGACCATGGTTATGAAACTATAAGCATGGGAAAAATATTTGAACATGGTAATAACACCTTTTTTTAATGAAGAGTATAATTAATTTTTGATGTTTTCAAGAGTTTGTTAAAATTTGCATTTAATTTTTTTTATTTTTATTTTTCTTTTATAATTTGGTTAGAACCTGCCAAACTTTCCAAAGAGAGAATTAAGTTCGGTTGTCCATTTTTGAATTTTCATTTTTTCCATTATCTTTGAAGAATTTTCTAAATTTCTTTAAGAAAGAAAATTAAGTTTGAGTTTTTTTATGCATTTGTGGGTAAATTTTCAGTAGAGATGTTAAAGAATGGTTTATTTTATGGGGAAATAATTATTAAGATTTGTATTATGTCTTATTTATTATAATACAAATGTAATACACTATTTGATATAAAACAGAGTAGGGGAGGCTAAGAAAGAGTGCAAAAAGAATGTTAAATTTTATGGAGTAACTTTTATAAAAAACCTGTCAGTATGTTGGTGCTATATAAAGAAATGTGTATAGTGAAAGTATACAATTTTTTTTTAAAAAACAATGCAAGTGCATTTTATTTTTTTATTTGAGAGGGTGATAAAATCAGTTGGCTGAATATGAAAATAAGTCCGGGGTACATGAAGTATTTTTAGCTTTTGTATGCTTTATTGGCTACTACCAGGTGTATATTTTAATTTTGTCTTTCATATTTGTTATTTCTTTTATTTTAGCTATCAGTTTCTAAAAGAAAAAGAAATTTTAAAGGTGTTGAGATATTTACTGTGAACGCAAAATTTGCATGTAGTTAACATAATCTAAGAGAGCATTCATTGCTTATTCTGATAGGAAACATTAGCAAGTCATTTTGCATAATAGTTGGAAATGTGGATTTGATTGCTCGAACAACGTCCGAAATGTTGTTAGAGCTGCTAAGCATTTGTATAGAGCTCAATTGATGTAACGTTTTGGCGTTAGAAAATATTACATTGATAACAACATTAATGTTGATACAACAGCATTAATGACACAATATACATGCTTCATACTCTGAAGGAATTGTATCTGTGTCATACCTCTCATGAGTTTAACCACACCTTTAAAACAGTTATTCGACACAGTGATATTTATGCTAATTGTTCACCCCTTCCCCCTAAAAAAAACTCATACTCATTCTTAATAGTATAGTTACAATTTTTCTTTATATGTAAATAATTTTGGTGAAATTATATGAAAAACTGTAGAATCTATTGTGTAATGTAACATGAAGAAGGTGACATTTTGGTCCTGAAAAGGGCAAAGCTTTTCTGGAAAAATAAAGTTACAGAGGCAAATCTACTTAACATTGAGGTAAACGACTACCTCTAAATGGCTAAATTGCAGAGATATCGCCAAGCTGGCAATATTTTTTTATTGCCAAAATTTGTAAACTAATTTTTATCACCAAAAGTCACCAGACCTTTCCACCATTTGGCAACGTTTTGGTATGGTTTCTGTATAAATGGTACTGCAATCGATCCCTAAATGTAACTGTGACCATATCTGGCCCTTATATGTAAATTTAACCATATCTGCTTTCTACTAATTTCAAGAAATGGAAGATACTAGATATTTCTCAGCAGTTATTAGAAAACTATATAAGCCCAGAGAGAGTTTTATTTCATATCCACAGTTTTATTTTATAGCTGAGTTCATTATTCAATATAGAGACATCTCCGTGTAAGCTTTGCCTTTTAGATGTGCTTTGCATTGCATTGTGTTTAATATTCTTAGTAGTTTGAAGTGTAACTACTGATTGTGCTCTGTGTTACTGAGAAGAGCTGTACAAGTACTTTTGTGGAAAGTTAAAATAAATTTTATCAAGCTATCATCAGTTTTGTAGGCATTCAATCCATTACAAATGCGTACACATGCAGCAGTATTCTTACTGCATTGAAATACTGTAGTTACCCACATATTCCCCCCTTTTTTAATTTTGCCTCAAGAAAAATGAAGAAAAATCCGTAAATTCATGCATTTATTTATTACACATGCAGCAGTATTCTTAGTGCATTGAAATTACCCACATATTCCCTTCCTTACACATATTACTTGGAATTCCTTCCTTCCATATAGTCTTTGAAATTAACCCATGTATTCTGTCCCTTTTTTTATTAGTTTTACCTCTTGAAAAATGAAGAAAAGATTACTCAGCAAATTTGTCAATTCATGCATTTATTTATTTCACATGCAAGCAGTATTCTTACTGCATTGAAATACTGTATTTCCCCTCATATTCCCTTCCCCCTTTTTTAAAATTAATTTTGCCTCTTGAGAAATGATGAAAATATTACTCAGTAAATTTGTAAATTCATGCATTTATTTTTTAGACATGCAGCAGTATTCTTACTCACATATTCCCTTTTTTTATATAATTAATTTTTCCTCTTCAAAAATGAAGAAAAGATTACTCAGAAATTTTGTCAATTCATGCATTTATTTATTACACATGCAGCAGTATTCTTATTGCATCGAAGTACTGTATTTACCCACATATTCCCTTCCTATTTTTTTATTAATTTGACCTCTTGCAATACGAAGAAAAGATTACTCAGAAAATTTGCAATTCATGCATTTATTACCCACATATTCCCTTCAGTTTTTTTAAAAATTAATTTTACCTCTTGAAAAATAAAGAAAAGATTACTCAGTAAATTTGTCAGTTGATGCATTTATTTATTACACATGCAGCAGCATTGTTACTGCATTGAAATACTGTTCTTACCCACATATTCATTTCCCCCTCTTTTTTTTTAATTAATGTTGCCTCTTGAAAAATGAAGAAAAGATTACTCAGCATATCTGTAAATTCATGTATTTATTCATTGGTTTAATAATTTATTAGTTATATATTATTTATTGAAATTATTATTTTTATATTGCATTTAGTATTCAGTTTTCCATTTTCTTTAGTTGTAAGTATGCCTTCCTGTCCAGGAACTGTACTGCCCGGGGCATACAGTCCTTGGGAAAGGAGCAATGTTATAAATTTTGTATATATGTGTAAATAATTATATGTATTCATGTATAATGTAACATGAGACGCTTCAAGAATGCAAAGCCTCGTCTGAAAAACAGGATTACAGGGGTAAGTCCATTTAACATTTCGAAAAATGGCTTAGAGCCAAGTTGGCTAAATTCTGTCGCTAAATGTGATGGGAAATTGCCGGCGGACAACATTTTGGTCCTACACCTATGTAATTACCTAGAACGCTGAATAACAATGAAATCATTGGCTGTACTGCTGTTATTTTAATTATTTAAAAAAATAAACTAAGTTCATTAAAATTATGTAATATTTCACTCATTACAACTATCTTATTTACATAATTGTTCATTACAGTTATATAAATAAGTTTAAATTATGTTATTAAGTCATATAAAAATGACAAATGTATGTTAAGAGGTTGTACAATAATGCATATGTCTTAATCCAAAGAAATACAAATAAAAGCATGGCATTGCTATTTACAACATTTACAAAGAACATAACCCTAGTAGTACCTGTAAAATCACCAGCAAAGTTCTATTGCTGAGTTTACTTTACCCTGCCCCTGGTGCAATCCCTATGTAACTGTATCCTGCCCTTCATAACTGCAGCTACATATACCTTCCAGCAATTTCAAGAAATAGAAGATACTGGAAATTTCTTGGCAGCTGGGAAAAAACTATAAAAGACTGGAGAGACTGTAAATTTAATTTAGTTCAGAGTTTAGATCAAAGTAATGAAAGGTCACTGTGCGAGCTTATGCATTTGAGACCTTTTAAATTGTCTTGTATTTAATATTCATAGTAGTTTGAAGTGGTAACTACTGATTGTACTCTCTCATGCTGAAGAGTACATTTGAGAAAGGTTCTGGAAGCTATACAAGTATATTTGTGAAATGTTCCATAATTGTAAAGTGTTTCTTTTGTGAAAACAAATTTTATCAAGCTATCATCAGTTCTGTGTGCACTTAATCCATTACGAACTGGTACGCATGTAATAATATGATATTTACATCCTGCCATCTGCATCGATAGAAACTTCGAGGTACTAAAATTCATTTGCACTTTTAAAAATTGTTAATTTTCATTGTATACTTAACTTTTGGATGCCACTATATATACTTATATTTCACCTGATACAAATAATTATAAGCCAAATGACTATGAAGGCTGTTGACTAAATTTGATTTCAAATGAATGGACATCAGTGTTTTAATGGCATTTCAAATTTAATACAATTAAATAAGGTATTGCATCATTAATTATTTTATTTGAGATAAACTTTTGTAACAGACATGCTGTTTCAATGACAATATCATTTTGTTTCCTTAAACTGAAATTTGTATATCCTAGTATAAATGCACAGTGAAAAAAGCAATGCAATGTGCATTTGAATTATTCAGATTATTGAAAAATTATTTCTTTGCCATACTCAATAACTGAATGTGAGTTTATTTTATTTTTTCATTTTAATTTCACTAGGTATTGTATCTAACTGGACTGATGATTTTCCAAATAGCTGGTCAGAATATCCATTCAGACCTTTGACCTTCGACAAAGAAATGGAACCGGTAATTGTTAAATGTATATAGCACTTGTTGTACGAGGTCATAATTTGTATCACTCAATGAGTTAATATAATTTTGTGTTAAACTGTAATTTTTTAATATAAGTAATAACAATTTAACCCCAAAGTATAAAAATAATAGCATAAATATTATGTTTGGCAGTGAACTGAGAACTTTTGAAGCAGAAGTAACAATCATTTTAATTTTCTTATTTTAGTTCCATAATGTAATAACATTAATACAATTTTTCCTAAAAGAAATAAATTAAGTAGGATTTATGCATATGTTTTCATCAGAGAAAATTCTAAATACAACATATTAAGTATATATTAATTAATTAATTTTGGGGTATCGTAGATTTTTTTCTGTGGATGTATGTCATATTTTTCTGTGGATAAATACTGCAGAATGTGTAACTGATAGATACTGCCTTCTGTAAATATTCATGGGCATTGTAAATTTAATTGACATGAATTTTATTAGTGATGCTTCATATGATCATGAGAATATTTTTGTGGGATCAGTAATGTATTCAATTATCAAGTAATCATTCTTTTTAAATATCTTATAAGGAAATTATCAGGTCCTTAAAACTGCTAGTAAGTGAAAGAATTTATGAATTTTCCATCAGCATTCCAGTTTCATTCTGTACGGAAAAGGGTCATTGAAATTAAATTGCTTAGGGAATTTTAAATGGATCTCTTTTTGAAAATATCATAGAATGTAAACACATGGAGAAAAACTCAACTTCTGAAAGAAGACATTTCAGTGAAGAATAATTAATTTAATATGAATTATTCAATGAGATATTTAGAATGATATCAGTTACCCCCAAAAATTCAAAAATTAAATTATCCTGGTATGATAGTGAAGTTGAATGATATGTAGGGAAATCTTTTCTATCTGAAACCTATCACATTTCTTTGAAATCTGTAACATCTGTCAAATCTGTAGTTTAAGCTTATTTATGCAGAAAAATAGCAGCAATACAGTCAATAATCTTTTGTTTTTATAATAAATGTAGTGAAACCTCTTATTACAAACAGCACTATTATAGGTGATATTTCTGAGAATATTGCAACAAACATTGCTAGGAAACATCAATTGTTACATTCCCTAAAGTTGTAAAAAATAATAATCCATTGAAAACATTTCATTGTGATATGTAAGCAGCTGAAAAAAAGAATTATCAGCAGTATTAATTATTTGAAATAAAAGTATGCTTAAAAAAATTTAATTATTTGATTTTTAAAGAAGTTAAAAAATTCACCACTTCATTTAAACAGTAGTTTGTCTAAGGATTGTAACTTAATGATAGATTTATTTATTTATCTATTATTATTATTGCATATTCTTTGATGAGAAATTTTAGCATATTTTTCTTTTTGACAGGATTCACTGCAACAACTAAAATAAATTGTTTTATTTTAGTTGTTGCAGAAATGGACCGATAATTAAAAAATTTCTGAGCAGATAATTAAGGAATTAAGGAATAATTTCATTACTTGTTTTTATGAAAACAGTGTGTTTTGCATTTCTTCTAATGGAAGTTCAGCTATTCTTAACTGTATAATCTTGTTGAAGTAAAGCACTATGAGCAAGAATATAAAAAAGGGGAAGGAGAGTGTGATGTGTGCGCGACGTCAACTAGTGAGATAACTAAAAAGTGCTAACTCTCCATCTGAGAGGAACCAAAAATTTAGTTTTCTAGGAGGGAGACCTAGAGGGAGATCTGAAAAGGGAAACGCTCTTGGGAGCTGTTAATAAACACAAAATTAACTTGTATTAATTAATGTACATATTTCAGTTATTAGTAGTGTGTAGTTGTGTGTGTGTGTAAGAAATATTTAAAAATACGAAAAAAGGTGGATAATTTCCCATTTGTGGGCCACAAGAAGACAGGAGTGACATTACAGAGAGAGAGCTAAAGAGATAAAAGTTTTAAAAAGAAGACAGAAAAAAAAAAAAAAAAAAAAGAAATTCTTGTATTATATGAAATATGTGTTCAATTTACTGTAATAAAAAAAAACACAATTTGAAATTTTATGAATATACAAATGGGCTGTGGTACTACGTAATACAGAAACCTATAATTTCATTTTATTTCTTAAAAAAAGCATTTCAGGAATTATTATTAAACCATGTTGAGAGGGTGTATAACACTGCTTTATTTATCAATTTGTAAGATTATTCATAATTATGTCCATAATTTCTGAGGTTTATAATATGAAGATGCATATCAGTACATAAAGGATAAGTTCATATTTGCAATGTTATATTCCTTATCAGATAGCTGTAGATGTAGTCTCTATGGGCTATAAAAAAATAGCCACTGCTACTGGCCTATGATGTTTCTGCAAGATTGCAGTGCCGTGTATTTTTGTAAGGACATACACTTTTAGTTGAATAGTGAAACTTGCATTGGATAAATTTTTGCCAAATGATTCTCCTTTCTGCTCCACAATCAATTGACTTAATCTCAAGTGTTTTTTTTTTTTTTTTTTTGTTATTTATTTTTTGTTGAGATGACTTGAAGATTATGCATTTATGTTATAAGGTATTTCTCCCGCCTTCTTCGCATGCCTTCGTGGTGTGGTGGTCTGCACCCTGGGCGTGTATTCCAGAGGTCCATGGTTCGATTCCCAGCGAAGGCATTGCATATTTTTCATCTTGCCTGCTTCCAAAAAATACCTAATGTTTGTATAGTGGCGCCCAAACTAAAAATGTTGTTGGATGATGATTCTCCTCACCCAGGATTTGGCAATTGGGTCCCCTAAAAACCCCAGTCGCCCTTTAAAAGAGGGAGTATATAAGGTATTTCTCCCGCCTTCTTCGCATGCCTTCATGGTGTGGTGGTCTGCACGCTGGGCACATATTCCAAAGGTCCATGATTCGATTCCCGGCGAAGGCGTTGCATATTTTTCATCTTGCCTGCTTTCAAAAAATACCTAATGTCTCTACTATGTCCTTTGCTTATGATTTATCACAACTGTTATACATGCTGTTCATTTATCAACTGCAGTATATATTTACTTTAAATAGAAAAAAATTTATTGCCTTCAAAATCAGATATTTTTTAAATGCTTGGACAATAATATTAAAATTTGATATACATTTAAATCAATAACTGATATACTTACAGAGGGTATTCGCACATTTTTGTAATGATTTTGCAAAGATTTATATGCAAACAAACCTTAGAATTTTATTTTCTAATATGTTCAATCTGATAGCCCTTTTGTTGAACTATCATATTACATTTTGATTTCGAAGATAAAAATCCTTTTCTTAAAACATCAAGGTCGATTTTATTCCACTCCTCTTTCACAATCTTTCAGAGTCCATCCAATGTTTTTGCATGCCGCTTATAAAGAGATTGTTTCAAAAATTCAAATGTACAGTAATTCAATAGGAGAGACATTAGGAGACTTGAGTGGGTTGTGTTTAAAGAGAATAGCTTCAATTCCAGTTTCATTTCTCATTTTTTCAAAAAATAGTGCAGTAGATTTAGAGGTATGGCTTGGAGCCTTATCCTGATGGAACTTAACACAGTGAAGATTATGCAGATGAAGAGATGGAATTTCTTCTTTAAAATTAGATGTTGAAAAAACATATTTCTGATAGTAATCCAAATTAATTTTGACATTTTTTCTACTTTCCTAATTTTAAGTTTTTTGTTAGAAGAGAATATTGTAATAACCATAAAACCTTTAGAAAAACTTTCCTTGTTTTCTCTGAACCAACGTATTAAGCCTTTTTCTCCTTTTTTTTTTGGTACTAAGTAGATCTTTTTCTGTTGTAGTGGGATAAGTATATCTAAGTTCATCAAATATAACTATATATTTCCATTTTTCACCTACCAAATAATTTTCATTCAGCAATATGCACATAGTCTTAGCACATAGCTGAGAAACATGTTTCAGTGTTAAGCGATGAAAATTAATTTTTTTTTTTTTTGTTTTAATTAGGTTTAAATCAGATTTTATAATTTTGTTCACAGTTCCTACAGAGATATTTAAAGATTTTGCAATAGCTCTTTGGGGGAGCTGGATTTTTCTTTACCACATGAGATTTAATAAGAGCTGTATGTACACTGCTCGACATTGAAAATGTTACACCAAGAAGTAGTGGTCAGAAAGTGATGAAATTTTAAAAACAGACAGAGGCAGCATGCAGCAATAAATGATCTTTGTTTCAAAATGATAATCAGAATACAGAGCAAGAACAGCGTTGCTCAGTAGGAATTAGGACCACCACGGACAACGATGCACGAAGAAACATGTTTAGACATAGATTCAATAAGAATGCGGATGGTGTTCTGAGGGATGGCTCTCCATTCCCTTTCAACCATTTGCCACAGTTCATCTGAATGAGGCAGGGACAGAGTCTACAAACGGCGTCCAATCTCATTCCACACATGTTCAATTGGTGACAGGTCAGGAGAGTACGGTGGCCAGGGAAGCATCTGTATACCTTGCAGAGCATGTTGGCAGATGCGAGCACTGTGTGGTCGGTCGTTATCCTACTGAAAAATTGCATTAGGCAGCCCCTGAAAGTAGGGGATTGCCACCAAGCACAGTACATCATCCAAGTACCTTTGGGCCTGAATACGAACTAGAAGTGACCTGGAATCGTAGGCAATAGTGCCCAAAACCATTATGCCACATTGTCGCGCGGCGTTCCACAGTTACTGTCAGATTAGATCTGTCTCCACGTCGACGCCACACACGTATGCGGTAACTGTCACAGGATAAACAGAAGCGTGACTCATCTTAGAACACGATGTGTCACCATTCTGTCATCCACATCGCTCCAGTCCGGCACCATTCTAAACTTTGGCGTCTATGCTGTGGGGTCAATGGCAATCTTCTTAACGGATGCCGTGAGTGCAGGCCACGTTCAACCAATCGACGGGAAATGGTTCTGGTCGACACGGGAACATCCAGGGTATCTTGCACATGCTGCAGAATCGCGGTACAAGTGACTTGTGGGACCGCCACAGCTTGTCGGCGGATGCGTCGATCCATGCATCACTCTATCTGCACCTGCACCCCTCCTTCTTCCCACATTTCCTTGTTCCAACCATGTTCGCCATAGCCGATGCACAGTGCTCGCATCCATGTGGGTATCAGCTGCGATTTGACATAAGGACCAACCCGCCCTTCTCAGTCCGATCACCATACCCTTCGTAAAATCGTCTATCTGCTGGAAATGCCTTCGTTGACGGCGGCCTGGCATTCTCTCCTGTTACATGTATCCGTCGCGACAAAAACCAGCTTTCTTCGATAATTCGTCTGGCAGAAATAACAACGCGAATATTGCCCATTCTGCAGGTTTGTTCCCTTGTATCTTACTTCACGTACATGAGAGCTGCGCATTTCACATCATTCGCATAACTCAGTGACGTGCGTGTACTCTAAAATTTGCATAAATTTCTGACCGCTCCTTCTTGGTGTTGCATTTTCAATGTCGAGCAGTGTACCTTTGTTGAGTATGCATTTTTTGCTTTTTCTAGTCAGATGCAAACTTTAACGTTTCTTTCCTTTCATATTAATTATGTCACTTATTATATGCGTGGAAATATTAAAACCATGCTTTTCACATTTTTTTTTAATGATTGAATAGGAGTATTTCTCTTCGGACTGTGCAAAAATATAGCTTTCAATCCATTGTTTATTTTTCAGTGATATTTTAAAGAAAAGAATATTTTTTAATGCTGCAGACGATAATTAAACCTTATTCTAATTTGATTCCAGTCATGTTTGTATTTTAAAATTAATATTCAAATTCATGGAGAAAATCAAAATCATTACAAAAATGTGTGAATGCCCTTTGTATTTCTCCTGCTACTTTTAGGTATGCAATTCAACAGATGGAAAACGAATGAATTTGGTGTGTCCTGTAGATATAAATGATGGGGATGTTGGTACTTTACCTGATATAGAAATCACACAACATGCAATTGATTATTTAAAGAATAGAACAAAAGGACCAAATAAGTCCTCACCATTCTTCCTTGGAGTAGGTTACTATAAACCTCATATACCTTTCAAATTTCCTAGTCAGTATTTAGGTAAGATTTTTAAATTCTGATTTGTTTTTTAGCAGGGTTTAAAATAAGTTATTTGTTCATTGATTTTTTTTCCTTTTTTTTGTGGTTTTTAACTGCTGATATAAAGTTATTCATTCAAAATCAGTTTTTTATTTTATTTATTATTTTTTTTAAAGTTTTATATTTGTGCATAACCTTATTATTTAGAAGACCTATATTTTGTATCTTTGCATGATATTACTTAATATAGTCCTTAGATTCTTAACACCTTAATTGTTGAAGTATTCTTAGGGAAGTGATTCTATATTATCACACAGCATACAGTATATGCCCTGCCCACAAAAGTCATTATTGGGCCTTTTTTTTTGCAACCATTTTATCTAATCATATACTATCAATTTAAAAAAGGCCTTATCTGGCACACATATTTGCATATTTAAATTAAAATTAATTTTATAAAAAATCTAAATTTTTATACAGCCTTCCAGTCCTTGTAGTTAAATTTATGGAAATTTTATAACCATTATAAAAGTTAAAAAATGAAATATTTAAATTTTTATATTATAAGTTTTACGTAGGAAGTAAAACTCCATTAAAGACTTAAAGCTCCAATAAATCTGAATAATATATCATCATTCCAACAGTTTTAAAAATATTTACTTCTATAACATTCTAACCCATTTTAGTACTATTCCGTTTTTGAAGACCGTAAAAAAATTGCAGCGAAAAGATATGCGCAAAAACACGAAATCTAGCAAAGGTGCCCATATAACAGCGCACCAAATCTAGCATACGCGCTGATTTCAAATTGTAAGACGCCATTGAAATACTAGTATAATTTTTAAATCCTTTTTTGATATGGATTTAACAATTTGAGAATTGCCTATGAAGTTTTTCAAAGAAAAGGCATCATTAATTATAGAATATTATGTTTGAACAACCAATGAGATGAAATTATGCTTTAGCGATAACTCGGTAGTGAAATATCGATGCAGGAATCCATTCAGTTATGTTTAGCCTTTTTTAATATAAATTATAATAGTGATTTGAAATAGTTTTTGACTCTTATGTTTCCATTCAGTTATTTTTAGCCTTTTTTATATAAATTATAATAATAAAAAAGTATTATATGAAATATATGAAATTAAAGGTTCATCTAAATTAAAACAATAATCTTAGATAGTTATTTACTATTATACTTCCTTTCTTGCATTAGGGTTACCAAAATTATTTTTTGACAGCACTGGCATTAACAATAGTTTGGCGATTTTTTACGGTCCTCAAAACGGAATACAGTCAAAAGTCTTTAATCCGGACTCATCGGGACTTCGGTGATTCGAAATTATCGGTTTTTCCGTATTGTAGATCATCAGTTTAAATCTGGTAAGATGGCATGCAGAAATTATAAAATTAAAAATATGAAACCGTAATTTATGAAATAAGAGCAATTATGATCTAAAGGGTATCAAAATTTACAAAGAAAAAGGCTGAATATTTATTTGTTTACTTTATTAAACATTTCTTTCAACGCGCGCATGCGTAAACCATACATTACCCATAGTCGAAATTAGAAAATTGCAATCAGAAACCTATTTGATGTGTATTCATGATATTTATAATGACGAGAAATTTTATTTAAATCGTATGAAAGACGGAGTACATCGAGATGAAGTACTACATTTAGTAAGGAATTATAAGCGGCAGAGTCATAGCTAGGGTTTTCAGCGCCCAGGGACAACTGAAGATTTCACACCCCCTACTGCTTGCCAAGGATGGAAAACATTTAATTCTAAAATGTTGTAACATCAGTTTGGCGCCCCTTCAATTCTGCGCCCGGGGACAGATGGCCCCCTCTAGCTATGCCCCTGATAAGCGGAATAAAATAAAATCATCTGCCCTGAAGATAAGGATAGTGCTGACAGATCAACTTCCAGTTCCTTGCGCGCCGCGACGTTCCCCCCCCCTCCCCCCCGCAGAGCAGCGTGAAATTAATAAACAGATTTTGGAATGGTTAGAGAAACAAAGGATATGCCTTTATCCATTTTTTGCAGCAATTCCACTTTTTGCTTGATGGACATCGAAACATGCTTTTGCTTTGTAGATCCTTTGGCAGCTCCAGAATCGAAAATTCTTTTTGACATAATCGAAAGTTCAAGCTTACTTTTATTAAAATTGCTATAACAGTCTGCAAAAAATAATAAGCCGGATCCAATTAGAAGATTAAGGAACAACGCAATCTGCAACATTAACTGAAATAGATAATTTTAGCTTAGCTTATACTGTCCGTTATCCATTAAATGTGCATGCGTAAACGTATCATGCGCATGCATAAACGCATGCGTAAATGCATAAACGCATGCGTAAATGCATTATGCGCATGCAGAAAGTTTGTAGTTTTGAGGTCCAGGTTATAGATCATTCCGAATTAAAGACTTTTGACTGTAGTACCAAAATTTTTTATATAATATTGAAACGGTAACCATTAATTTGTTTTTAGGTTCTGCATTTTAGGTTTTCAGTTCTGGATAATATAACATTAAAAATTATGAGTATTATCGCAACCACTTTAGTAGAAATTGCTGAAAACTTCAGAATATACAAAACTTTGGTATCCACAGGCATAACTATTATTTGAGTAACCATGCACATGGCAGATATTCAGTTTCCAATGCTACCATTTTCATGTGCATTCTTTTTGTTGTATTCCAAGTTCCAATGGCTTTTATAGAAAAAATTATGATGAATATTAGTTAGTCTCAAACTTGATTTTAAAAATTGTGCTTGTAGGATTTTCCTGCAATGTAAGAAACGTGAAATATCTGCAGGAATACGTTATTTTGCCACAAAACCACTAGACTAATGCTTTGAATTATTTCTCAAAGTGATAACAATGAAATTTCAAAAAAAAAAAAAAAAAAAAAAAAAAAAAAAAACCTATTTGTAACTAGGTTTACTGATTGCCGTTTGGAATAAATATATAATTGAAACTTAGAATACAGTATGTATGTAATATATAATTTTTTACAATAAAAGTAACTGTTCATTTTCTTCTGTAAAATTTGCCAAACTGCACCAAGGTGGTTGCAATGATACATAAGTACAAAAATGATATACGTGTCCTTCTATTTCCTCAGATTTGTATCCTGTTGGATCAATGGATGTTGCACTCAATAATGTTGTACCAAAGAAATTACCTAAAATATCTTGGAATCCTTGGATGGATATTAGACAGCTAGATGATATTAAAAACTTGAACATTAATTTTCCGTATGGACCTCTTCCTGAGTCTTATCAGGTAATTCTTTTTTTCACTTACTTAGTGTCCTTGTTGGTTACTGTTAAGCCCCTTCAACAAGAGCAGATTAGACTGTTGATGAAAACCGCTTTTTCCAATGTGTCCCATTCACATGACAACGTACTACCTGCTTGTCAGTTGGAAGTAGAATGCTCTTACCTCTCTGAAGTAGGACAAATAGGGAGATTTCCCATATGCATTATATGATCCAATTAATTCTGGTAAATGACATGCAGTTGGCTGCTTGCTGGATTGTGAGCAAAATTATCGCATTGATAACTGTCTGGCAATGCAATAGCTTCAGAAAAGAATTAGTACAGTTTACATGATGCAGAAGTATGTAAAGAAGATATGTACATGTTTTGCTGCCTCTGGGTTCATATGAAATACTCTTCAAATCAAAATGCTGAGGGACAAATATCACCCGCAAAGTGACAAACTAAGGATGATATAGCTCCGGATACATTTTTTTAATGACATTAATATTGCATTTGTAAAATTTCCTTCAGCAAATTTACTTTCTCTGATGAAGTAGCAGCCTTTTGTTTCGGCTACGAGGGACTTGACATCGAACAGGCCAATTTCATAACCTGCACATTTTCAGGAAACCCACGTAGCTAGGTTACCATTTTCACTTACTCTAAAGACTTGAATGCCAAAAAGTAAACGATTATCGCTCAGATTGGGATAACGTTATCCTTTAGAAGCAGAACTTTCGTTTGATTAGTTGATCTCTATGCGGGACAGAACTGCAGCCGAAACATTTTCTGTTACATTTCAAAAAATCCTCGTAGATGGTACATTGTTTCTGTAGCTAGGTGAGACTTCACTTCCAGCGGGGCTCTTTTTTTCTGGGAATCCTCCCGTTTAAAGCAGTGCTACCAGAATCTCGTTTCTCAGAAAATTTCCATCTAGCAGGGACAGTTGCTAGACCTGATAGCTCTTAAGTAGCATATACTAAAGTAGATGCAAAAATAATTTTTTTTGGAAGGGGAGAAGGGGGAAAAAAGAAGGAAAATGTTTTTAAAAAGTTTTTTTCAAAGTAAGTTTATTTAAATCTCATAAAATAATAAATGAACTAAAAGGAAAAAATCATACAGTTTAATGGGAATAAAAAATAACATAATTCCCGTCATAAAATACATGTACAATTTCATAACATGAAAATCAAATGCGTGGGGCACTCTTTATAAATTTCTAAAGATAATTGCTTTTACTTTTGATGGTACAATTTAATTGCAAGATTTAATTATTTATATGTCCTTGCTTTTATTATTTGTGATATGTAGAGGGATTTTATAAAGAGAATTATTTAATATCTTTTTCTGATTAAAGTATATGAGAAATTCTTTTTCCATGTTTATTTAGTTCATTAACTATTTTATGAGTTTTAAGTAAGAACTTTTTTATTTTTTTAGTTTCATCTTTTTAGTCTCGGTGACAAGACGTGAATCAAAATTATTCAATTCAAAAACCATATCTCAACAATGAGTACACTTTTCTTTTCCTCCCAAAAATTCTGTTATGTGAAATGGTCGGAAAAAAATTCACTTTAAAATTTCATTTAGAAGATTTTTTTTCCCTATCCAGTAATGCAAACAGTAAAATTTAGATATTTTTAGTTTGTTCCTTAAACAAAGACATGTACGAAAAATTGATTCATATTTAAATTTTAAAGAATGAAGATGAAGTTTGAAAAATCATTTCATTCACATCCACAATGAGGGAATAGGTAAAATTTGAGCTCCTTAACTTGTAAGCAAATAGACTAAAAATCAATGTGAAAGTTTTGGCAATAGTGACAAACACTGTGAATGAATTAAATAAAAGCTTATAAAATCCCAGTAGTTGTAAAATAAACTCTAGAAAGTCGCCTAACTAATATTTTTAAATCATTCTTGTTTTGTAAGGCAGTAAAATGTTTGTTTTATAATCATTGAAAATTTCAAATCTTTATAATGGATACATGTTTGGATGTTAAAATCTTAAAGTCCTAAAAGAATAAAATATTATATACCACAATGAAATTAAGAAAATCAGTCTTTATAATGAAACACTGGGAAAATTATTATAAACTTATAAAATGGAAACAATTAAAATTGACATGATACATTTCATTGCAAGTAATTTTAAGTGGTTACCAATTATTTTTTGGAGGGTGGCGGAATTAATAAAATAAAAGGAATCATAAAATGGAAAATTTATGCATAAAAAAGCAAGAAATAACATTTTTAAATAGCAGAAGATTTTTTATAGTGAGCTTAATTTGGCTTAATTGTAATAATTCTTTCAGCGAAGAAATTGAGATTAATAAATAAGTAACTAAAACAAATTTTTAGAGAAATCTATATGGAAACATAAAAGGTAACAGTAATGGTAGCAGTTTTGAAAACTGATGTTTTTAATTGATGCCAAAGAATGGCCTATACTTCCACTTCTGCTTCATTGCACTTTTCTTTTAATGTAAAAAATCGCACAATTAATGTTTTTGTATGGTTCTTTTTAAAGAGCGGGAAGAATTTGTCTCATAGTCATTGAAAATTTCAAAACTTTATAACCAGGTAAATATTTAGATGTCAAAAAGTCTAACAATTCAAGCAATTTTAAAAAATCCCCCACACACACACACACACTGCAAAAAATTACATGAAAAATTTCATTGAAAAGATATTTTTCTTTGATGTATGCAGTAGTGCAAACTATAAATTTCTGAGATTTATAATCCGTTTATGAAAATATGGGCAAAAAAGACATTTCAACATTAAATATATAAAAAAAAAACTAATTAAAAATTGAAAAAAAAAAAGGTCAGTGCACCTAATTATACTTAATAACTGAAAGCAGTTTAAAAATTGGCGACTGACAAACTTTTAACCATAGCAACAATTCAAAGCAACACCATGAGTGAGCTGAAAAAAGTTTATAACAGTAAGAATAAAAGATAACTTTTTTCAAGAACCATTATGAAAGTTCTCATAGCATCTGTAGCAGTAGTAAACAATTTAAAAAAAAGTGTAAACGGCATTAAAAATCAGCCACTTTGATTCATATTTGTGACTTCATAGGCAGCGACTTATGGGTAAAGGAAGGAAGTGTGAAACAAATAACGCATTTGAGACATAAAAATATGAATAATGAATTTGCATATTTCAATTTTATTTTTTCAGATTTCATATTTAAAAAAATTATTAACAATTTTAAAGGAATTTTGAAGTTAAGTTTAACTAATTCAGTTTGCTTAATACTTATATCAAAATGCAATATTTGTATTGCACTGTTTTCTTTATCTTAATTTTCAAATTGAGTATATTTTAAAATTTCCTTGAGAGGCTAATCATTGTATTAAAAATATTTAGTAAAATTATATATACATGTAAGAAAAATAAAGAATGTAAAAGATTAAATTAGCAGCATAAATTAATTTCCCTTCTGTATTCTAAAAATAGCAACATCTATTTGCACTGCTTCATTTCGAGAAAAGTCTGCATAATTTGACTCTTATGTAATTCTGGTGATGTAAATTGAACTAAAACACAAGCAGCCAATAGTAATTTTACAGCAACATTAATTATCCAATGAAAATGCGTTGAGAACCAAAACTAACTCAGTTTGAATTCAGATTTCATCCTGAACATCACACACTTTCTTTTTATGCTTTGCCTTAGCTGGACTGCAGTCTGTCTGCTTCTTCTTTTTTGCTGCAAATCTATCAAAAATGCAAGCCCTTTGGAACAGGCACATTTAATGTGCCAACTTGTGTGTATCCACAACATGTTGCAAAAAATAAAATTGAAGATTTAATCTGCCTTCGCCTCCAATTTCCTAGTCATTATGGATCAACTCTTCTATGCCATCAAAATTCCTGTTCCTGAATATATTACATATATATATATATATATATGTGGTGTAGTCATTTGTTTCCTTCTTTCATATGAAATAAAAAGTACTCAATGTAGTTTTTAAATTATGGTGTTCTTTTTGTTGTTGTTGTCATTGTTTATATGTTCTAACTTTTTCGTATTTAGAAACTAATACGGCAAGGTTATTATGCTTCTGTATCTTATATTGATGATCAAGTAGGACAGTTACTAGAAGCTCTTGAAGAAAGTGGATATGCTTCCCAAACAGTTGTCGTTTTACTTGGAGATAGTGGTATGTTAGCTGTGAAGTTTTAATGACATAACTGATTTATTCAATTTTGATCAATTGTAAAGATTAATTTTTCTTATATTACTAGTTTACTTTTTAATTTATTATTTACATTTAGAGTTTTAAGTGTTTATGTATAAATATTTTAGAAAATATTTAAAAATGAAAAATCCATTTTGTGTGCATGTGTGTGTTTGTGTGCATCTTAGATTTATTAAAAAAAAAAAAAAAAAAAGCTCTTAAGCATTGCATTTTTGTAGGAGAGTAAAATTTTCACTTTTCATTAGTTTTTTTTTTTTTTAATTTTTTAATAAAATTGTTAAACTCCTTTAAAATTAGGATAAACAGCAATCTGAATAAAGCTTTGTCAACTTCAAGAGTGATCAGTAAAAGGTCCCTCTTCTTCAAAAGCAAAAAAATTCTGCAAATTTTGTTCTTGATGAAGAGAGATGCATATATGATCGTCCTTGAAATCAGTAGAGTTTTATTCAAAATCTATGCCAAAATAAGGTTGCTGTTTTGCCTAACTTTAAAGCTTTTGTTTGGCATGTTTATTTTCTAGTTTAATTTATTGTTTAATCACCAATGTTATAATATCAGTTACAGCTTTGGATTTATTAATAAATTATTTAAAGTTTTGTTTTTAGAAAATTTTGTTTATGATGACATGACTTTAATTATTGCATTTAATAGTATTCATTATGAAGAATGGTATGCATTATGAATCATTATGTCTCTGGGATTTTAGTGTACCATTATATCATAAATCATGAGAGATAGGGTAAGTTAACAGAAACAGAGTGAAATGTTACAGATTCTGTGTAGATGCTATATATTTTTTATACGTCTGGCTTCATAACATGACAAATGAAATCTATTCTGTATTAAAGTTGATCATTACCTATATCAGAGAGTAACAATCATTATAATATGTTGTTTTGATTTTGCTAAATGTCTAGTCAAATAGATGGAGGTTCCAGGTTAATTTTAAAAGGTAGAGAAGGCATGTTACCTTTAAAAGGTAGAGACGGCATATCTCAGTGAAAAGTTACTCAAAAGGTGGACTGACTATGCAGCTGTAATGACTAAGCACATCATGCTTACCCACCTCGATCATCATACTTAAAGTTTTAATTATTCTTTTCATTATTGTGTTATCTTTTGCCATTCTGATGACTGTTGGTCAGCAATGTCAACTGTTGTACTATTAGGCCAAGATTCAAATCTCATAAAAGGAATGGATGTTTGTAAATGTATTATGTTTTTCAAATATGAGGACATTTATATCGTCATCAAACTGAAACTCTCCTTGAGAAATAGATAGTTGTGGAAATAGGATACATTGTATTTCGACCCTCGATGTCTTCAACAAAATTAAGATGCAGTTAAGCAAAATCATACTACACCTATAAAATATCTTGTCTAATGACAGGTGCTACTCTCTTCCTCTTAGCCTGCTAAAATTCGTGGACTTGGTCTGGAAACTTTTCCGATATTGGAATAATTAGAAATAATGTGATCTCTCTAGGGCTGTGGTCTCAAGTGGTTATGGTACCCCTGCACCAAGATTTAATTGAATTTAAACAACACATTACCATGGCTACCTTCAGATGAACAAGGTAAAGCTGAAGTGAATAAAACTCAAACTGGATTAAAAGTTACACATTTGCAGTGTTATAAAGTATAAATATAATGATTATTCGAATGACGGATAAAATACTTCAAATATTTTTCTTTACATTACCATTAACGATGTTATAATATTATGTCCCACTATGAAATACTGGTACACTTAACTACCAGAGTCTCATTCTGTATATGACTTTATATGAAGTAGTATTGTAATTAGTCTTCATTATCATTTAGGGTGGGCTCTAGGAGAACATCAGGAATGGTCAAAATACAGCAACTTTGAAGTTGCTCTTAGAGTGCCTTTGCTGGTTTTTGTTCCAGGCCTTACATATGACACAGATGAGAAGAAACCATTCAAATACATACCGGTTATGGAATATGTGCATTTGAAAAGCAGTGCAATATCAAATACAAATGTAAATGTTACTTATTCTCCATTTTCTTCAAAATATGTAACTGAAGAATTTGTTGAATTGGTTGATGTTTATCCTACAATATCAGAGATTATTGGTATAGCTGTTCCACCTTTATGTAAAGTGTATTCCACACCATTTTGTTCTGAAGGTATTAGTTTCTATCCATTAATAGAACATTTAACATTTGATCCATGGGTTGAATTTTCATGGAAAACTGCTGCATTCAGCCAATGTCCAAGACCATCGCTAGTTGCTCAAAATAATAGCGATAATCCATCTAGAGAACATATAAGATTCATGGGATATTCTGTTAGAACAGCTCATTTTCGTTACACAGAGTGGGTTAGATTTGATGCTAAAAATTTCAAGCCAGACTGGCCAGTGATTATATCTAGGGAACTGTATGATTATAGACATGATCCCTTTGAAATTAATAATGTTTGCGATGAAGATAATTATGCTAACACGGTAATAGAGTTATCTAGAATGATTAAAAAGGGCTGGCGTCATGCTATGCCACCAGGTTCTTTTGATAGTCCAGCCTCTGTTGGCCATTCTAGATTTCGAAGCCCGAGGATTCGGCAGTACTCATTGTGAATTGAGGGATTTGTATTCATATCTTAGTTCCTTTTTTGTCTTTTCATGAGAAAACTTAGCAGATAAGTTTTTTTATTTTTACATTGATGTGTTGTGGCATCTATTTTTTAAGTTGTTAATATGCATGCTAAACTGCTAAATATATCTAGTCATTTTGTTTTATGATTCAGAAAAGTCCAGGAAATATTAAAATATAGTTTCAAAAACCACGACTCATGTGATAATTCATAGAGTTCCTAAATATTAAAACATAGTTTCAAAAACCACGACTCATGCTACTTCATATGGTTCCTAAATCTTGTACACCATAAAAGTTTTAATTGGAAATTTTCTGGCTTTGCTTTTGAAAATTTAGGATTATTTACTAGTTGGCCTCTGTGTAAGTCTCATATCCTAATTTAAAGGTTTGAGAATTGTCATGTATTTTTTAATTGCTCAAATCATATTGTTTACAAAGACTGAAATATTTATTTTGTTTTTCCTATTTTGATAACAATTTTTCTGAAAAATTTTTCAGTAAACTGCTTTCTTTTAATTCACATAAATTTTTGTTCTTCATAATGTATATTTTACACATGTTCAAATATACCAAATAAGCATTAAGTACAAATGTAATAATTGTTTTTAATCAACTTTTTATGTTGAAAGTTTATGTAAATATAAACTGTGGTACTAAAACTGATATCTAATAACTAATTTGATGTACAGAAATTATTTTTTTAATTATAATTATATAGGATATTTTTATACAATCTAGTCATGATCTTTAAATGTAAATGTGTATGGCAAGTTATTATTGCTTTGTTTTGATCTAGTGATTATGTTGATTAAAGTTTTTTAAATGCTTTTTATAAGGTTCTCATTAAGTCAGTGATTATATATTTAAGATGATTTTATATTAATATCCAGGAAGATTGTTATTTTGGTTGATTATTAATTTTTATTTACTCATTTAGGTGTTTTAAATGCTTGTTTGTGTGTATCATTAAGCCAGTGATAATTTATTTCAACTAATTTTAACCCTCTGAGTGGCATATCTCCTTGGATGTTCTCAGAAAGAACTGTATTTAAACAACATTAATTAGTTAAATTTGCATGATTATTTATTATAGTTTCTGTATTTAAACAGCATTAATTAGCTAATTGGATTGGATTATTCAATTATGGCAAAGCACGCGAGGGCTATCTGCCTAAAGGGAGGGATGCCTTCGTGGAGGACTTTCTAGGGAAAACTGGCTCGTATACTCATTACTCATGGGGAAAACCATGAAAACACCCATGCAGCCAGCCCGTTCGTAGGATTCGAACCTCGGACTGAACTACCAGTGTTCAGCATCTTTACAGCTCGGCCGCTGGTGGGCCATTAATTAGCTAAATTTGCATAATTAATTATTATAGTGTCTGTTTTCACAAACTTTCATTCATTAAGGTGTACAATTAAATTGAATAGAATGTCTAAAATAATAAGCTAATATATACAAAGCGATAAAAAATCTCGTGACCAGATAAAAGTGGTCAAGCCACTTAAGGGTTAAACTAGTATTTTTTAAGATTATTATTTTGATTGATTATTAATTTATATATATATATATGTAATAATAAAATTCCATAGTCAAGAATACACTTAAAATTCTAACTGTATGTTCTTTTCATTTTTAATGGCAACGGTCTCTTTTTTGAAAGTACGTGGAATTAAATCCACAGTCCCATAGTCAAGTTGTTTTTCCCGACTTTTCTACACGTACAGTTATAGAATGGTCTGGAAATATTTAAAGCGAACTGGATTGGCTGACGAGGCTGACGTCATTTCTTGGAAGCTCCGCCTTTCCAGAGGCTATAAAAAGACTCGCAAAGGAATATCGGGGGCTTTTTCTTAAATGTCACGATGCAGTAAACTTCATACAAAATATTATTAGTAGTTCTTTTTTTTATTTACTCCGGATATCTGATTTTGTAACTGCTATTTTCTCCTGAATAATAATAAATGGATCCTGTTTTTTTTTTTAAACTTATCGTCTGATAATTTAAGCTATGACTAAAGCTGGTACATCACACACACACACACACACACACACACATATATATATATATACAATAAAATGATGTATTCTGCTCATTATTTTGAGTGAAAATTTATTCCTATGGAAAGTACTATACTATGCATATTAACACTCTCTAAATATACTTGCTGTTTTGTCATTATAATCAAGATCATTCCTTACTTTTTGGTGATGGCTGAAATATGGTGTAAGGACTATTTCATTTGTCAACACTTTTCACTTCTTAAATAATAATAGTTCTTAATGTTTGCATAAAGATTAACAAAATTGGAAACATTGTGCATTTCAAAATCTGTAAAAGTAGAAGTAATTTTCAAAAGAAAGTGTATGTCTTTGTCTGCTTTCTTTTAATTTTAATTAACAAATATATTTGTAATGAAACCTCAGTTTTTCCATTTCGCAACACAAAAGCATGTTTGGAATGTTTATTTCTATTCACATAGTTATTTTCAAACTTTTATAGGAATAATATAATATTAAATCTTGATGAAAACAAAATTCATTCCTTTTTATAAATAAGTGCCTTTTTTATGTAATTAAATATAAAGTTATTAATTTTTATATGATATTATCATTTACATTATTTTCTCCTGATATCTAAATCATCTAATGATAACATATTGCGGGCTGTCTAAAATAAATCTTTGGGAACAGTTACATTTTCAGTAATTGCCAGAAAAACATAAAAAGTCATACAGCACTGTAGAGTCAGTTCCAGAGCTAGTGCAGCTGGTATGGCCAAACTCTGGGTAGTAAAGTTTTTAGTATATAAAGAAACACCAAGTGCAAAATTTATGAGTTTAAGAAATTGTACTGAATAGCAAAAAGCTTGGTACTATCTCCACACCATTGTGAGTTTTCATAAAATACTCTGCACAAAGAATTAGTACTATGTATTACTCAACTAAAAGACAAAAATATATGTATATCATCTATTTATTTAACTAAAGAATTTTCAGTTTCAAAATTAGTTATCAAAGTTGTTATATAGTTTCCAGCTGTAGTTTTATAATGTTTAATTAAGTAATTTTTGTTAATTAAAGTGTTCATGTATAATCTTCTTCAAAGAGTTTTAAATGTTCTTTTTAAACTAGATGCATTTAAACTAAATTTCAACTTACTGAGTTTCAAGGATAATCATTTTGTTAAATAGAGGCAAAGAATGTTTAGTAATCAAGTGGTGCAGACGTATTTCATTCCATTGATTCTATTCCATTTCTGGTATTTTAATTTGCTAAATATTGCATTATATATATAGTAAGCATCATTTTGTCATATTTACATTTCAATATCATATTTTAAAGGGTTTTACTCTGTTAATGTTTAATCATTATCGTGTTACAATATTACTGCAAGATGACAAAAGTAAGATAAACAAGGTATATGCTATAACCATTATTTGTAGAAGGATACATTTTACATTTGATATAAAAATTTTAAAGCCAAGTAGTTGTAGTTACTGTGCAATAATAATTATGTTCCTTAACTTAGATCATAAGATTCCTGCTTTATGTTAACATTCAAATATCACATTTAAAACTACAGTTCTTTTTTTCTGTACTTTTTCAGATGCCTTACAGTTTTACAATTTAATTGTTTTTCTCTGTAAATCATAAAGTTAGAAAAAAATGTTGAATTAATCAAAATTCAGTGAATTTGAGTACAGTTATTATGATTAAAGTTGATCAAACTGTGTTAAAAACTCAGTGAATTTTTAATATTGTTTTCATATCCTAATGACAATTTCCGTCCTTTTGTCCAGGTGTTATATATTTCTTGTACAATATATAAATGTATGTTTTTAAATTATTTGTTGAACTTATACACAAACATGTTGTAATATTTTATTGAATGTTAAACAGAAATAAAGAGATTATAATGCTGTTTTCATGTATGTGTGCATTGACTGTACAAAATATTTTGGCATGAATGATATATGAAGATTCCATAAATATATATTAGATTAGTATGAAAATATCAGTAATTTTCAAACTAAATAGTATATTTAAAAATTACTTATATATTTGTTCATAATTATTATATGAATTACAATATTCTGTGTTTCATAGATAAATATTTTCAGGTTTTCATTTAGATGTCATGAAAAATAATAAATAATTAAATGCAGACTATGGTATGCTATGTCAAAGTTATAGTTTTTTTTTTTTTAGTTAAGCAATAGTTTTTTTTTTTTTTTTTTTAGTTAAGCAATAGTTTTTTTTTTTTTTTTTTTTTTTTTTTTTTTTTTTTTTTTTTTTTTTTGGTGGTGGTGGGGAGATACTTTGACTTTCTGTGAATGAACATAAATACAAGCAAGTTCTTTTTAATGATGTTGCTTTTGTTCACAGATACTACACATGTGCTGTTTTTTAATTGTTGCATGCTTCAGTGCAAAAGAATTTCTTTACTAGTACTGCCACAAAATAAAATTTCTATGCATTTTAATATTGCCCAGCAAGCATATTTTCCAGTAGTACTAACTATTTCCTTACTGGGCTGCCTGAAATTTCATGGCATATACTAGAGCGCTTTTGAAATCCTTGACATCTGCCATTCGCAAAGCTTTTTGTATCTCAGGTTCCATAATGCCATCATTGAAGTATTGTAGGGACAGGATTTCCATTGTTTCTGATGGGCAGTCCAAAAAGGCGAGATGAGACATTCTTTCAGCTCCTGGAGTGTTTCTGTGTGCTTCTGTTAACACAATTCCAATTGAAGTCTGCTATAGTCTTTTAAACGCTTCTTGCCAGAGCGCAGCTCCAATGCACCGGATAGAGCTTCATAGTTTAGAGTACGATGGACTTTCTCCATTTGACAACTTGCACTGCACTTGATTTTATGACTTTTAATTCTGACAACTTTACCAAGGCTAAATTTTATTGGGCTGCCAGAAGTCTCATGGCAGATATCGCTACACACTGACGTAGGGGAAAAAGTTTAGTGTATGGTTTTCAGGCAGAGTTTGAAGGATATCCATTGACTTTGCTCTCAGATGAGTGGCAGGACTTACCACTTACCTTGAGAATCCCAATCATTTGCGTTCACCTCTATATAAACTGAGTCTTGTACATATGCCAGGAGGTCTTTCCATCCTATATGGATATCTTTAGAGAGGTACGAGAAGATATTATTAGGAATTTAAAGGCTCCGGAATTGTGTCCAGCTGTCGCAATGGATTTCTTTAAGCTGTCAACTTCCTTGGCTACAGCAGCAGAAACTCTGTCATCAGTTTGTTGTTCTCCAGTACGGCTCTAAAATGGAATCAGGTGTTGGGTGTGCTTGTATTATTTTACTAAATCTAAACCAAAAAAATCTCACTAAAAGCACGTCTTGCCAAAGAAAATAGCATTTTAAAATCTGAACTCTTAGCAATAAAATTAGCAATTGATTATTCAATAATTAACAACTTGAAGCAAATAAACGTATTTGCAGATAGTCAGTCAGCAATTCTAGTATTCCAAAATACTAAGCATAAATCTGAATTTATTCAACAAATTATCGAAAGTTCCTCGCAACATCTTCACCTATCTCCAAGAATCTCATGGATTAGAATCACAGGGATTGGCCAAAATCCTACCTAAAATTTCATCTTGGAAAAATTAAAACAAATATGTTAGAAAATGAATGTCAAAATAACGACACAGAAGACTGTATGAAATTGCTCCTCCTGTTAACGAGCAATGTACAATGGTAAACCAACTACATAAATTGCTTTCTCACAGGACATGGCCCATTTCCCACATACTTTCAACAAAGAAACACCTACTTCCGATCAATGCGTATGTTGGGATAGAGGGGACTCTAATCATTATATAAATGCCTGTCCCTTAAATGATCATTTCATATTAAATTACCTACCTCAAACGCCATGCTTTTCTTAAATTTGCAATCAAGAATACGCATTTCAGAAAGAAAATACCATGATGTACCTTTCAATCTAGAGGCGAAAATTACCAAATTAAAATTGCTAATTAAAAAATACAGCTTAGTTACCCAGTAATTCCAATAATTATAAACTCACAGATTAATTAAAATACTTCTATTATGAATTGCAAATAAATTTTACTATGACGAGTTATGAATATAAAAGAGTGTAAGTGAAAACTAAATAAAGCTCACATTATAATGAATTGTATAAACT